GGAAAGTAATAGCACAAATTGTTTTTGCACAATGAACTCACAGCCTATCGTACCCTTTTGCACGCTCAAGTTCGTTATTTCCACGGTTATTTCAAATTTAGGCTACTAGGCGCGCCGCGCGCAGGGTGCAAGTTCAACGCGGTGAACGCGCTCGGTTTTTTTTTCCCAAGCGCGTCCGCACCGCATCAAGATAAAAACATATTCATACCCTAATCATATAATAGTGTCACTAACGTTACATTAGATCTGGCTGATAAAGGCACTGTTACAGTAGGTCATCTAAAAACATAACGGAACACTTACCTCAGCCGCAGGTGATCCACTTGTCCTGTCTGTGCTATCGATGGGATGGCCGTATCCTTCAGCACATTATGGTCCGTGTGGCAAATTCCATTTTTTCAAAATAGTCGTCCTCATTGAAATGTACCGAGCAAACATAATGTCCCTTGATAATCTTAGGTGTGTTTGGATAAATATCCAGAGTAAGTTAGCCATTTCTTCATCCAGTCAGCGTTTTTAGTTGGAATTCTGTGAAACATGGTATTACCTCCCCTGTTTACAGTCGCAGCTATTTACAATAGAGCGAAAACCCATGACTCTACTACGCTTTTACTATTTATAAATTGCTGACTCTATTACCCAAACACCGAGCGAACTCTCCGCTCCTCACCACGGCGTGTCTCCGGTGATGCGGTTATTACGCTGTCAAAGTAGCAGTGCTTTGCCTTCAGAGAATAGTTCCCAGGTTTTATACGGTTAAAAGATGTCTGTGTCTCATTTGACTTTGTTATTTGTACATTATGTGACTATACAAATCACAACATGTAAATAGGAAAACGTTTGCGTTATTTTGCCACTCATTTGGATCAGTATGAAAGCTGCAACCAGTCACATCGAGTCTTTGTGCTAAGCTAGGCTAGCGGTGGGTGCGTCAAACAGACTTATAGCACGCACGGAGATGAAAAAGGTATGTATGGACTTATCTAACTCTGGGGGGTAAGGTGAATAGGCTAAAGTCCCAAAAAGTCGGAGTGTTCCTTTAAGTTCAGGAAGTAGTGCAGCTGTGCATAAGGTCAATTGAAACTGAATTTACTGTGAAATGGGGAAGTGTTCTTCGAACCTTCTCAACAAATTGTAATTATCAAGTATGATGAAATGTATAAACAATACAAATGTCTGTCTGTTTGTCTGCTGTCTATCTGTCCGTCTTTCAAGACTTTGTCTGTTTTTAATCTTTGTATTGACATACTTTGCATTAGTAGGAAAAAAGTTCAGTTGATTTGTATAGTTCCTCAATCAAAAACATTTGTCTACATCAATCCAAATTCAGGAACTGACTTCAAGTTGACAATGAATTCTCAATTCAATTCAGCGCAATGCAAAACCCTCAAGCATGAGTCACTGTCGATAAACTGGTTAATATCACTGAGGGCAGCGGAAACCCAGAGGTTTCCTTCCATGTGTTGCTGCCAAGAACCTCTGCAGCGCTATTAAAAGAGTCTGGGAGTTGCTGGTATGTAGGTGCAAGGAACAAACTTGCAGAAATTGTTGAATTCAATATGCGTATCACCCCCATCAGATCCTTCATATAGATCATGGGATGGTTCCAGATGTAGACCCACAGTAGCAGAGGAATCAGTAAACCTTGTGGCGTCTACTACGTTTCCTCTGTCGTTCTCGCTCCTCCACGCCCCAGCCGTCGTCTGCTCTTTTCTGGAGTTCCTCTCCTAGGGAGTAAATCTGGCTCCTATTGTGAAAGCAGGCGTAACCCCCGCTCCTCGTCCCCCGCTCCTCCTTTGAAGCGTCCGGGCGGTGGAGGGGAGCAGTCATTGTGCTGCTCTTTGATAGTGCCGCTCAGGCTTTGCAGGAGCACGTCGTTCCTGGGCTCCCATCCCACCGCTCCTCAGATGTGGGCAGACCCCACTCAAGCCTTCGCGTCCCCTACCCTCACCTGATGTTTTTTTTTTTTTTGTTGTTGCATTAAGGGTTTTATTGAGGTGAACATTCTTTCCTCTGCCTTTTTTAGAGAGATCACAGCAGAAAGGCCACAGCCACGGTTGGTTTGCAGTTGTACAGACGTATAAGAGTTTCTAAGAGTTTTTCCCTTCCCTGATGTTACTGTCTCAGGGCCAAAGGAAGTGCTGACTGAACCCAAGCGGTTTGTTTAAATCCGATTTTTCATCCAGGTGCTGTTTTTATTACTCAGGCCGGGGTTTTTTGAACCCGTCCTCCTCCTCGCAGATCATTGGTTATAGTGCCTGTTGAATTTTTATGGACTCCTTGAAGGACGCTGCCAAAAACCAGAAACGAAGCCAAGTGCTACAACACAAGGTCACTGGTCCAAAGTCAGTTTGGTGTGAAAATGGACCTTTTCAGCTGACTAGGCTTAACACAACCCAGATACGAGCTCTTTGTCCATACTCCCATTCCCTGCCAGTGTTTCATCGTAAAGCTTTGAACCTTCTCCAGTTCTACACGTACGGCTAAGTGTCTGTAGAAACAGTTGCTTTACACCAGAATCAAGATTTTTAGGTACCCCACTAAAGCCTGGATACATAGCTTTTCTGGCTGTTGTTACTTCTTGCAGTTCAATGTTATCTTTGACACTGACTGGGCCCACGTTCGAAGCATGCACACTACGACAGTTTTGTAATACTTCACCCGACCTGTAGAGGAGAGCACGTTTTTTTGTCCGCTTTGTGTTGTCAAACTCAAGATGAACAAATCATGACTTGACTTATTATTATTTTTGGGTTTTGAACAAGTTTGGAATATATTTACATTTACTTGAGATGCAACATTGCATTATATGTTTTTTTTTTTTTTTTTTTCAGAGAATGTATTTTTAATACAAAATGCATTTTTTAGAAGCGATACATTTTTTAAATCTTAAATCTTTTTAAAATAATTTTAACAATCCTTTCCAACCATTTTTGTTTTTCAGATATGCAGACTTAAAAAGTTTTATTAGAGAATTATTGGCTAATGTCTAGTAAAAATAACTAAATGCATAATAATATGAATGTTTAATCTTACTGCACTGTAAAAAAAAAAAACAACATAACTAAATGCATTATAATATGAATGTTTAATCTTACTGCTCTGTAAAAAAAAAAAAGTGAATAAATTTTTTTACAGTGCATATTTTTTTCCTTTTCCATTATAATTGCCCATTTTTGAAATCACCTTTCCAACTGCTATAGTGCTGCCTCCTAGTGAGCCCACCAATTACTGCACATATACGCGGTTATATCATTTAAGCTGCGCACAGTGGAAATTTAGCGGCAAACGTAACCGCAGCCCACTTTCTCCAGTTTTTCAGAACAATATTTTTTTTCTTGCTCTCTGACCACATCAAGCTGCCTTCTCTGGCTTTTGTGGAAAAGGAAGGGTTAGACCAGGGGAAGGAGGTGTGTTGGTCCCAGCTGCAGGCTTTTTGATTTGCCCCTGGAGGTGAACGGGCCAATTGAGTGACACAGGGCCATGCCTGTTATCTTAACCTCCCACACTTCAAAGAACAGCCTCGCTACCGCAGAGCGAGCCCAAGAGAAGGACGGAGAGAGGCTGGCCCTCGAATACAGAGGAGCGTTTCATTTCCTGCGAGCAGGGCCTCGACATTCCTCAGCGCCAATGGGAAGTAGCTCTTGAATCCCTGCGTTTGAATCAGAAAGGACTGTAAAGCGTGGCCCGACGGCACCGTCCTAACCTCTCCAAACACCCCGACGCGCCCCCTCCCCTTCCAACAGGAGGCTGGTGGGGAAAGGCGGTAAAGCATGCCAACTTTTTTCATCTGTGGCCGGGAAGGAAAACGCTCTCCAGGAAGGGGGCGCAGCGAAGCTTTGAGATCGTAGGATGAAAAGGGTGGGCAGGGGAGGTAAATAAAAGCGTCCCCGCTCACTTTATTCTGTGACTCTCTTTCTCTATCCTCGTTCGGCACCAGGGTCAGATCTCCCTGGAAAAGTAGTTGCCTTTCATCCACATGTGGTAAAGCCGTCCACATGGGTGTACGAGTGTATTTATGTGTGAAAGTGGTCCAGGGTGCAGTTGTGGAGTAAAACTGACATCTCGTTGAAAAAGGTTGTGTTCGACCTCCGCTCCAGGGAGGAGCCCGCTACCAGTCTTGCATTTTATCTGTCTCTCTTCTATCTCTCTCTCTCCATCCATCAGAGGTTTGCTCCTGTATTCCTGCTTCTCACTTTGATCAGGAATTCCATTTGATGCACTTCTGAAATAGCCCCATACAGCTTGTCGACCAAAATAGTCTGATACATTTAATATTTCACATCTCAAAAATGGATTCTGATTGGACGAACTGTTTGTGATGGAAAAACTTTGGGCTTCTGATTAATGTTGAACGTGGGGATTAGTTTTTTTTTCCCAAAATGGCATGCTAGGGGACATTTTTGAGTGCGACAATTTGGTATAAACTTGCTTTCTTTTTGCTCTAAATGTCCTCATGTGCAATACACAAATCATAATGCGTGATGTGAATGCGTGTAATCATATTAAAGTGAAAGTGCCTAATTTGTTGCAGATCTAAAATGTGTCTAAAGATAGTTCACCCTAAAAAAACAAATTACTCACCTTCGTTGTTCCAAACCAAATGTTTCAGTAGTTTTTTTTTTTTATGGAAGCTTGTTTCCGCCACAGAATAGAAAATAAAATGATAATTAGGACTTTATCTCACAATTCTGACTTTGTTCTTGTGATTGTGAATTGTGAGTTTACATCTCAGAATTGTTTATCGCAAAAAAAAAAAAAGTCGCAATTATCTTCCAAAATGTTTTGCAAAAATGGGCTTCCATAGTTTTTGACTATACAATGAAAGTCATAGGGGTCCAAAACAGCATTGTAACTTTCACCAGCACAACATCTTTCATTGTATAGACCTAAAAAAAAAGAAAAAAAAGAAAATGTTGGCAGAATTCTCAATTTTGGGTGAATTATTCCTATAACTTGAAATATCTAATCGTGTTTTCCTCTCCATTTGTGTTCTACAGGAGGAAAACGGACTTCTTTTTCCTCTTGCAAAGCGAAGACAGCAGCTACAGGCCCCCTTTTAGAGATGGAAGCCTGTTAGACTCCTCAACCTTTCACCCCTCCGTCACCTCTTGACCCCTGAGGAATATCCAGAGGGTCCCGGTCCTTGAATCTGCTCCTCGGCTGCAGGCGCTGCTGTAGAGACATTGAACTGAAGAACAGACAATCACCAACACAGGCCCTCACGCAGACCCGTGAATACCGTTTTTTTTTGGTTTTTGTTTTTATTACTGTCCTGAATTCACTCCCGAAGCCGAAGGCGTTGCACTGATTATGTTCCTTGACCGTTTGTAAAGCGCACATATGGCCACATGTACACAAACACACACGTTCCTACACCTGTCCCTAAGTTATTATAAGTTATTTGGCACCTCTGTGTGTTCACGACGTCACTCCCTCACTTCCTCTCTTGCCCCGTAAAATGTAGCATCGCGGGGGCCCGACACGCCACACAAACGTTCTATCGCAAGATTTTAGGGATTACGCGTTGCCCTGGAAACAGTCTCCGTAGGTTGCGTTTTGCATTTTGACACATTGGTGCAAAAAGGGTCGATGTTTTGATTTCTCCTCAACATCTTGGGTTCAAGTTTATTTTGAATGCTTTTTTATTATAATTCTTTATTTTCATTTTTCGGTGTATATTTTAAGTGATTTTTTTTATCATTATTTATATATATATATATATATATATATATATATAAATAATGGTATACGAAATAAGCTTGGAGACAGGAAAGCCATTTTTCTTGTTAAAGCGTCTTGCAGAAATAACGTTTGAAAGTCTTCTTTTTGATAGCTATTTGTAACGGATATTGACTTCTCAGTCTCTACTTGCGCAGATGTAAAATAATGCTCAATGTGTACTTTTTAAAAAGAGATGTCTGGATGTCACTGTTTCTTGGTATTTTTGCAGGCAACATTAGAACAAAGGTGAAAGAGTACAGTAGGTACCCAGAGGCCTATATTTTATTGATCTAAATTGACAAATGAAGCAGATATATCTATATATATTTACCCCAGCACTTGGCAGTCTTTCTTTAATTGCAATGTACCTCTGTCTCTCTGGTAGGTAATAGAGTGGTCTTTTACCATGTTTATTCCATGCAAACATTTCCACATTTTATTCTTTTTAATTATTCTCTTTTAGCATTCTCAGATGTTGTTTTTTTTACATTCATTGTCATATTTTGAATCGTTAACTTGGTGTAGCATTTTGCTTCCAAGTGGTCACATTCGAACTGTTTCAACATGTCTTTTTTTATGAAAATAAATAGGCATCTTTGACTGAAAACGACTGCAGTATGTTTATTTTATTGTATACACTGAAATGTGTCTCGGTTAAGTAGAGAGAGTGAATTTCTGCGTCCTACCAGAAGCATTAGGAATTATAGAATATATCCGGCGGATCTCTGGGGAAACTTCAAACGGCTTCTTAAAATCAACGAGAAATAAAATGCAGCTAGTGTTCATTTTAATGTGCATTTGAATATTCATTCGGCCTTAAGTACTAATAATAAGAGATGATTTACAATATAGCTAAAATAATTAAATGGCCATTCATTCATTATACTCCTAACAAATGCTTTAAATTGAGGGTCTATAATTATATGAAGCATCATTTTTAATCTTTAAGTCTTTCAGTAGGCACGCTGACTGCAATGGCAGATACACTATGACAGACAGCACACAGAACTGTGAATGTAGGATGTTCTGCATTAAAAGCTCACCGTTGACGTCTATGCTACTACAGTGCCACCTCATGCATGAAACACTGGCATCTGAGTTATGGACATAAATAATATTTTAAGTGTAGTTCTTAATAAAATGTGTGTCATTTCAGCCTATAGGATTCACAATTATACAGAGTTCTAATTGTTAACAGTCTTTTGTTCTGTCATGATGCTTTTCTGTGGGTGTTGTGCTCGTGTTTGGCAAGTGTATGTTTGGTCTCATCAAGGATGTTTAAAACAACTGAATTGGCTATAGAGAATAATGTATGATAGGGCGCCACCTACTGGAAGAAGATAAATAAAAACATGACTGCCTTTTACACTACTACTCTCGTCATGTACAGTAGTAGTCATGTTGATCTGACACAGCACCTATTGCATCGAGCATACTAAACTATCTCTGTTAATTGACTAAAACAAATATGGAATTTGTCACAAGCTCGTTTACATGCATTAGTAGCAGTGCTGTAAAATCAATCAAAAATGCATCTAACAAAAGTTTTTTATATAATCTGGGTGTGTGTATATAAATATATATTATATAATCTGTGTGTTTGTGTGTATATCTCACACATAGATAAACAAAAACTTTTTTGTTAGATGCAATTAATTACGATTAGTCATTTTGACTGCAATTTCACTCACCTAAAGGATTATTAGGAAGACCTGTTCAATGTCTCAGATGGCCTGAGACGAGAAGAGATTTCCACGACGCATGCGCGAGAATTGCGCAAGCGTCATAGAAATCTCTTGAACCCTCATCTCAGGCCCAGAAGGAAGAAAAGGAATAGTCGAATAAAGTTATTGTTTTTGTTTTATTTTCGCACAAAAAGTATTTGTGTCACTTGATAAACTTATAGTTTAGCCACTGTAGTCACATGGAATATTTAAACATTTTCTATTGACTTTCTGGGCCATCAGTTTCATTCCCTTAGGAGCCTATGAAGCAGTGATCCACCTCTCAAATTTAATCGAAAATATCTTCATTTGTGTTCTGAAGATGAACGAAGGTCTTACGGGGTTGGTACAGCATGGGGGTGAGTAATTTGACTTAATTTTCATTTTTGAGTGAACTATCCCTTTAATTTCCAATGTTGGACAGATTTGTGGTTGAAAATGAAAATTGACTTCAGAAACCAATATTATATTTATATCATAATATTGTTAATATTTGTGTGTAGCCTATTAGCTATTCGTAATCTTGGGTCTAATTAGCCTATTTTTGAAATAATTTTGTGAAAATAGGAATAGCTGTAACTATAAAAAAAGAGTTGTCAATCGATTTTTAAAAAAGTGACTAAACAATTTGTTCTGTAAATATTATCGTAAATAATCACAATATCGCACAAGGCACAACAACTGATATAATTTCTAACGAATCGCTAAATTAATGTAGAAACAACAGGAAGACGTAAATATTTGAACTGAAAATAGGCCTATAGTCAACTCGCAGAAATCAACGCGGTTGAATATCGTGTTTAAGCAGCTAAAAGGGCCAGTTAAATGATAAATCGTTCCTCACATAAGTATACAGCAATGAGTAAGTTTGAAGTGTTGATGTGAGCTTTATCAACGTCCTCGTTCTGAACATGATGTGATGATGAAGGTCAGGTGTGGTGATGTCATCACTCAGTCGGTCTCAGTGTGGGCATTTCCGTTAATGATGGCGGTCTGCCAGATCCTCAAACCTTAAACACAAAGCGTCTAGCGGCCTCGAACAATCACCACAACAGGGAAGACAGAGAAATGAGACGAAAATGGCTGTTTGAAATGGAAAGTCGTGTAGTAGGAAACTCTCCACTGTTCCCATGAAGTATCCAGACGGCGGGATTCCCAGGAAGGCCTAACCGTCCGGAGAAAAAAGTAAGTTTGAAAGCCTCTGTAGGAAATAATTTATTTGCAGCTGCCGCTAATATTTAACCTAGGCCTACTGCAATTAGATTTAAAAGACCCGTAGTCATTGTATCTACCTGCTATTTCTGAATCATATTGATGACAAATCCCTGTTGCTGGCCTGTCTTTTTTGTTTTTAGTCCAAGTTTGCAACAACTGGAATTACATGTCTAATATGCAGTTAGGACTGAAAATATATTCATTAATTATTCTGAAGGTAAAGTTCTTGCATTAAAATGTGATGAGAGGCCACAATAAGAGCATCTTGTGTTCACTGTAAAGTACCTTTATGCAAGAAACTAAGTCAGATTGTTTAGTAAAAGAAAAAAGCACCATGAGCACCAAAAGTTCATGCATAAACATTATTCATAAATGTTATTTTAATTATTCATAGCTTCAACTAAAATGCAAGATTTTTTCAATGAGCTTCCTCTGTGATGGTAAATCATGTGCATAGTGGCTACAAAATGTATTTGGACATTAAAATCTCCTCTTTTTTGCTTGAATAGCGTGCTTGTGCTGTCTTTAACACAAATATGTCTCTTAGTTTAATATTCTGTTTATACATTTTTAAATACGAGCAGACTGTCCATATAGTTTTTAAGGCCAAGATTTATATATATAGAGAGAGAGAGAGAGAGAGAGAGAGAGAGAGAGAGATGCATTTACATCAGATAACACTTTCAATTTGTGGGCCACCATTGACTTCTTCCATAGTATTTTTTTTTTTCAACTTTGGAAGTCAATGGTGCCAAACAACTGTTTTGTTACCAACATTCTTCAAAATAACTTCCTTTGTGTTCAGCAGGAGACAGAAACTCGTACAGGTTTGCAACAACTTGAGGGCGAGTAAATGATGACAGCATTTTCATTTTTGGGTGAACTGTCCCGTTAAGATCTATTATTGAGAGTGAACTCAGTTTGAATTAATGATGAAACAACGACCTCTAGTGGCTGAATGTTGTATTATGAAGTTTACCTCACAACATCATTAGTCAAATAATGATTGATAATAAAAGCGTTTCTTTCTGCTTTTCTATCAATTGACGCGTATATGACAATTAATAATTACAAAACACATTGAAACTTTTTTTTTTTAAATCTTTTAATTCGACACATTCAAAAGTTCATAGAATCATAGCAAGGCACTAGATGTAGAGGAAGACATTGCTGTCTTATAAAACGATTTATCTGGTCCAGAATTTCATACAGGACTTCCCTGGGAAAACTGGTGCTACTGATCCACACTTAGTCCAGTGCATTTTATTGACGGGTCATTTGTTGTCTGTTTATAAGGTAAAAGGCAGGTAATCTTCACATGTTACTTGTATTTGTAGAATCCCTCACCAGTTTTCTTGCCTAACTTGCCCTCTGACACCAGTTTGTTAAGCAGGGGACTGGTATCAAACAGGGGGTTATCAGGGTCCATCGCATGCCAACCTACACAAACACACAATTAGAAATCCTCAACACAATACTATTACATTAAAACTGGGTAAAGTGCTCACCGTCAATAATAAACTTTGAAGTGTCCAATCCAACATAGTCCAGAAGCTCAAACGGCCCCATAGGATAACCAGCCCCAAGCTTCATCGCCACATCGATGTCTTCCTTGGAACCGTGACCTGAGAAAAATATGGAAAAAAAAAACAAAAAAAAAACCTGCACCAAAATATGTTTTGGTATCCATTCATCACTCTTGACTGGTTCACACACGTACCTCTCTCGTGTAGTCGAACGGCCTCCAGCATGTAAGGAACCAGCAGACGATTCACTATAAACCCTGGAGTGTCCTGAGAGGAGACAGCAAGTGGAAGCTGAGGGACTTTTTAAAGTCTTTGAATCTCGAACAACAACCGGAAACTGAGGCTACAATCTGCACATTCTCAACAAAATTAGAAGATTGAAAAAAAAAAAAAAAAAAAAAATGTTGCCTGGTCTGATGAGTAACATGAAGAATTAAAGCAGTTCTGAAGGCAAAAGTGGATCCGACCCGGTACTATTAAAAGTGTAGCTAAAGTGGCCGTAGGGCCCTATGAAATCCGTTTTATTTTTCCCCGAATTCCGTTTTTTCCATTTTAATTTTTGGGAATTCAATTTTTGTACCCTTGACAGTTATGAGAAAAAAAGAGTATGCTTTTAAAGTTAAAGTTTTCCGCGTTAACACTAGATTCCGCGTTAATTTGCCAATTCCTCGATTCCGTGAACGCGGAAATCATAGGGCCCTACTCCGAGTGTATATAGTCATGTGAAAAAGAAAGTACAACCTTTTGAATTCTATGGTTTTACACTTCTGGACATAATAAAAAAAAATTGTATATGTCATGTTATTCATCTGAGGTTGTATTTACCTCATTTTAAGACCTGATATTAACCAAATGCCATAGAATTCAAAAGGGTGTCCTTTCTTTTTCACACGACTGTAATAGAAGATTACAGAATGCTTACTTTGCACGAGACTGGATGCTTCCCCAAAGCTTTACTGAACTCAAGGAGAGCGTCAAACGTCTGTTGGCTTGTAGCTGGAGCTTTAATCACCTGAGATAAGACATGTTTAAGATATCCAATTCAAAGCAAGCTTCAATATCTTGAACAGAATTTGCCATTTTTATTGATGCGGATGGTTGTGCAGTGAGTGAATTGGAATTTCAATCCAAACCTCCACCAGCTTCATCATTGGGACGGGGTTGAAGAAATGCAGTCCGCCAAAGCGGTCTAATCTTGCCGTGGAGCTGGCGATGTCCGTGATCTGCAGGGACGATGTGTTGCTCGCGAAGATGGTGTGTCTGAGGAGAACACACACATCTGACTGATATAACACAATTAGAGCATAGTAATGGCTGCCGCAATTTACAACAAAAATAAAACACTGGACATTAACTTATATTTTCTCAGCTCTCCAGAATACTAGATTCTGATTGGCCGATCTCTGCATTCTGCATCAAATGTTTAAATATAGTGATGATGAACAGTATAAGTATTTAAATAAAATATTGCCTGAATAACTGTGCGCTTTCTTCTGGCATAATATAAATCAGGTAATAACTGTTCAAAACAATCACTTCAGCAGCATATTTTTAGTCATTTATTCTGTTAAATAAAACTATTTACTTTATAATACATACATAGTCATTGCAATTTGTTCATTTTAAAACTACAGAAAAAATGCAATTTAAAAAATATTCTGAAAGATTCTTTTAGTGCTCAAACTAGGACAGCCCATAATAATTTAATACAGCTTGTCCGTAGCAAAAATATGATATTTTATTATATGCTATGAATAACATTTATTTAAATTTGATGGTTTCATTAAATAAAGTGAATTTACCATAAATTATACATTTAAATCTAACAATATCATGTCAACACATGAAAAACAGTTAATTTTTGATATGTTTAGCTTACCTCAAGGGCATCCAAGATGTAGGTGTCTTTGTTTCCACAGTATTTTCAATTTTGATATTTTTAGTATAATGGAGGTCTATGGTCATCACCTCAAGGAGCATGCACAGAGAAGTCCAAATTAAACATGATTTAATGATTCGTAAATGTAAGTACACATGACACGAAACGAGCGGTTTGTGTGAGAAAACGAACAGTATTTATATCGTTTTACCTCTTAACCACAGCCACGTCCAAGTGATCGGAAGGCGCGGGTGCTTCGGTCTGTGCAAGCGCCGGAAGTGATCTCTCGCGCGGTTGTGAATAAAAACAAACTTTGTCTGTTGATATCAAAATCGTCTTCCATTGCAATTTCCTGTATATCTAAATATGTTTAGATCTTCCGTGAAAGGGTAACACTTCTGAAATCTCTGTGTAAACAATGAGTGACATACACGCGCAAGAGATCACTTCCGGCACTTGCGTAGACCGCACCCTCAGATCACTTGGACATGCCTGTGGTCACAAGAGGTTAAACTATATAAAAACTGTTCGTTTTCTCACACAAACCGCTCGTTTCGTGTCTTAGGCCAACAATGTGTACTTACATTTACGAGTCTTTAAATCATGTTTAATTTGGACTTCTCTGTGCATGCTCTTTGAGGTGTTGACCTCATTATATGACTGACACAAGAATAGTTTGACCTAAAAATAATACAATTGAAAATACTGTGGAAACAAAGACACGTACATCGTGGATGCCCTTGAGGTAAGCTAAAACATATCAAAAATTCCAAAATTGTATTTCAAAGTGAACTATCCCTTTAAAGATCATTTAATTTTCTGTGCAGGATGCTGGAGTTTGTGCGCCATCTAGTGGTTACAACCCTGTTGGACCTTTAACTTTGTTGTCCTCATAGACAGTATAAGAAATGGACAGAGCGATCTCATTGGAACTCCATTGAGACGATTGAAGCCCGCTTTTGACTTCCGTCCCTGACGCGCAGACTCAAAAAGAGCTTGCCGACGTAGATGTGACGAGAGCACCCCATCTGTCTTCTAGTGGATGTGGCATTAGAAATTTGAAACTTGCAGAGGCGGAGAGTGTGAATAGGAGCTGTCCATGAGCTAGGAGAAGGAGACAATTTTGATAGGTATTCTGATTACTTATTTTGTAATTTTGCCTCCACGTTTCTCCGATTGCTCGCGAGCTTCTTCTCCTGTCCATACGCTAATCTCTCTACTGTGCGACAGAGAGTCGCGTGGGTATGACGCAATCGTTAGCCTACTTTCACTAAAACTGCTTCTACGGGGCCATAACATAAGCTACAAGGTAATGGAGCATTTTATACATTGTCGTGTTTCTTTAGAAATAAATAAAGGACAAAAGGGGTCTTCAAACACCTCAGATGTAAAGTTATTCGCTGTCAAATTGACGCCAAAATGAATGGGAGTCAATGGGAATGCTAACGCAAGTGAAGTTCTGCTACAAGATGGCAGCTCCCGCGAGGCTTCAACTTCCGGTCGATGGATTACCCCCTTGGTTGTACCCTATATAGTTTCCTGTGAAATAGAAGTTTTTCTTACTCAGGGGCCACTTTGTCCAGAGCTCCAAACAGATCTTGTTTGACTTTGAGGTTTTCCACAATAGCCTCCACCACAAGATCAGTGCCCTGAACTACAGACGCAGCATCTGAGCTTGTAGAGATATTCTTCAGGACTTTCTGAACGAATGCTTCTCCATCCTAGAGAATGTGAGCCACAGTTTTAATGAACTATAAAGCAACATCAGCCATTAAACCCCACATGAAATCAATAACTTTGGGACTGTGGTTAATCTCAGTGCTGTCAAACTAACCTCAGGTTTTTCTGCAAACTTCTTTTTCGCCACTCTTTTCAGACTAGCCTCAATGCTCTTTGCAGACTTCTTCAGTATGTCCTCAGATGTGTCCACTAACACCACTGAATGTCCTGTGGATGCAGCAACCTGAAACATTAAAGGGACTATGTGTAACTTTTTATGTACTTTATTATTTAAAAAAAATATTTATTTATAATAATGTAATAATGATTTATATAATTATTCCTATGACGTAAAATCCATATAGCCTATATAGGCTACTATATATATGAAAATGAATATTTCAAAAGTATATTTTAATCAACATTACACTATAATATAGGAAAATGAAAATACGTTTGTCCTATTTCTACACTTACAAGAAATAAACCCTTGAGCTTTTATTTAGGAGAAAACAAGATAGCCATGCTGATCGGGTAATTAATTCAACTATAATATAACTAAATTAATCCATGGTTCATTGTTGGCAAAATGATCATGATAGCCTTCATATATCTAGAATATGTGGTACAGTCATTGATTAGGCATACTTTGCTATTCTATGAATTAATATAGGCCTAATAAGTGATTATAATATGCTATATGAATTCCAAGGGTAATTACCGACCACGGAAGAATAAAAAAATAAATAAAATAAAAAAAAAATAAAAAAAGGTAAATGCGACTCGCGCATGAACCAGCTTAATCGATGATTAAATGTCGATATAGATTAAATGTATTACATCGATTAAATGTATTATAGTCAAATAATCGATTGTTGATCAATCGTTAACACCCCTATATAACATACTTTGTTAGCGGTCATACAATAATTACTCATTCAAAATAAGTACATACTCAAGAGAGTTAACGAAAACATACAGGTTTAAAAAGACTGCAGGTTAAGTAAATAATGACAGAATTTTACATTTTAGGGTGACCTCTCCCTTACGATATTTATTTCAAACGATTTTAATATGTTTATAAACACACACACATAATATTTATATGCTAAATAAAATGGAAGGGATACATTAACCTTAACGTAAGAAGTGGGTGAAAGGTCACTCTGAAAGACAGTCGCAACCTCTTTTACTGTCTATGGTCGCAACATGGTGGGAGAAGTTTGCAACAAATTGGCTGCGATTTATTGACACCCATTCTAATCAAAAGCAATGCAACTACATCCAGCTTGAAACTATAAAGAATAATCTTCTTTATTTAACTGTGTGAGATAGCACTTAGCTTGGCGTGTAGCCTGAATGGCTACACTCACTCACTCTCAGCAAATCAAAGTGATATTTCTCTGTCGTTACCTGTGCAATGCCAGCACCCATCAGTCCTCCTCCGATAACTGTGACATGTTTAATTGCATGTAGTGCTGCAGAAGATGAGAGGCTCCTGATGTACTGGCGCGTGATGAATGCCATGGCTGCTGTTTCTATAAATGACAGATTGCGCGTGCACAAGCGTCTCAGCTCGTGCTCGAGAACTGAGGCAAATTTGAACTGATCACGTGGTTTCCTCCTTATGTAATGGCTTTTTTTTTTTCACATGTCCTAAAGCACTGTGGTGTATATGGAGCTACTATTGTGTTTTTATATGCGAGAAAATAGATGATCTGAGAGGAAAAAAAGTTTGAGAAAATGTTTTCATACCAATAGTAAAAAATACTATTATTTTCAGACTAAAAAAGTATTGAGAGAAAGTATTTTTCTCATAGAGCATTAAAATATTTGAAATGTTTACAATAATGGACTTCAGTGGGAACCAAACTGTTCAAGGTCCAAAAGACAGTTTCAGTGCAAACTGTTCAAAGTGCTTTAAACGATTCCAGACGATGAATAAGGGTCTTATCAAGTGAAATAATCGCTCATTTAAAAAATAAATAACAAAGTTTATGTTTTATAAGCTCAAATGCTCGCTTTGCTCTGTTCTGTGACGCACGTTTGTGACTCTCCTGTTCGAACTCGTTCATCAAAATGAACGAATCTTTTTTCGTGTCATTTGGTTCATTCAACGAAATGTGCGAACAGGAGAGTCACAAACATGCGTCACAGAACAGATCAAGGCGATCATTTGAGCTTATAAAACTTTTTTTTTTTTTTAAATGAGTGATCGTTTCGCTTGATAAGACCCTTATTCATTGTCTGGAATCATTTAAAGCCCTTTGAACAGTTTGCACTGAAACTGTCTTTTGGACCTTGAACCGTTTGGTTACCAGTAAAGTGCATATTTGGAGAAAAATCCTGGAATGTTTTCATCAAAAACCTTAACTTCTTTTTGACCGAAGAAAGATTTATCCTATTGAGTCCTGGTGTCCATTACAGAGGACATACCATAGCATATGAATAAAATATAATTTTTCAATTTTCTTGCTCTAAACAATGCTATGACATGAAAAAAAGCTTTTTTTCCATGGAGTAGTATGACCTGTTAATTTGCTGTATTATAATATAAAACTCTTTTACAATGTGTTTAAAGTTAATAAACACCAACAAGTTTACGTTTTATCCTAAAAAATAGTGCAGTTGTTTATCAAGGAGGCAACAGTGTCAGTCAGTGAAGAAATACACATAATTTATGAAGAAAGCAATGACAAATCAAGGCAAATGTTGCTTTTCAGCGAAATATTTTATTGTGCGTCATTTCCAATCAATCAGTATTTTTGTCACGTTATATAAAAAGTGTGAAAATACTGTATGTATATATGGACGTGCAATTAGCTCTGAAATTAGCCGTAGCAAGACAAGGCTGGCCATTTTATTCCAAAAAATGCAGATACATCACCTCTAAGATGTGGTGGAAATGACTCTATCCTGGAAATGTGTATGACTTATAGAAAGAGGTCCATTGTTAGCTGACAAATTAAATAAATTAGAAATTAGAATAAAAAAAATCCTAAAAACCTATAGTTGAACACCCATTAATGTTTTTACTATAACATTGAACCATGAAATAATTTAACAATAATTTAAAAAATAATAATAATAACAGTCTTGTAAAAATGCAGTTCAGTTTGATTAAATTATGCAATGAATATTTTAAAATAAGCTGATATAATACTTAGGTATTTGTTCTTATTTCTTGAAATTGTTCAGGCATTTTTTACAAAAATAATATCAAACCTTTTGCTTCATCATACAACTTCAAAGCCCTTACTTAGTACCCTAGTCAACATGGTCCACCAGTGCAATTTGCTTCCCAATGATGCCTGCTCAGCGTGCTTTAACACAGACAGTAAACGGGCACGGAGCCAGAGTCAGGCCAAAGCGTCCATGCATGGAGGGAGCAGATTTCCCCTCAGGAAGCCTGAATGTGAAGGCCTGCATTAGGCTGGTGAACATCAGAAACATCTCCATCTTAGCCAGCTGCTCTCCCATGCACACCCTGCGACCTGAGGCACACAGAATCCACTCAGTTAAACATAGTCCTCATTATAAGAGCAGTTGGGAACATAGGGTACGTTTAAACGACAACGATCTACTAAAGTACGAAACGTTTTTTTGCGTACAGGCAAAATCGTTTCCACCCAAAGCCCTGCTGTGATTGGATGATGGGAGGGGAAGGAGAGTATTTAAACTGCAACCATCATCAGAGTTGTGTTGTTTTCTGAGCCAAGCTACCTGATGATGGCAGTAATGCACTGTTTAGTGTGGTTGCCGATAAAAGAAAGAAGAGTTGTGTTGGCTGTGTGAGTGTGTGCAACAGCTTTGAGGTCTCATCTAACTGAACACATAATATGCATTAGCAAGACGTTGCAAACCTGTTTTAAAAGTTTGTATTTTCAGGCCCCCAAAATGCTTTGTCATGTAAATGAATGGCCAAAACACAAATAAAAAAAGCTTAATAAAGTCATTAAAAAATGTCCCTTTTAAGTGCTCTTATTATGCTATTTTAAAGAGTCCTAATTTTGTTTTGGTCTCTATTAACAAGTTTCACATGCATCCAAGGTAAAAAAAAAATTCACATTTTTCACATAATATACATTGCAGCATTATCTCTTTTCTCAGTGTCTGAAACGGTTTGATAAAGATCCGGTCTCTCTAAACCCCTCCTTTCCCAGAGCTGATAGGTCACATGATAATGACAACATGGCGAATGTAGTACGTTAAGATCACATTCATACTAGAACACACCTTTTTAGCAGTCGTGACGTAATTACTTTTTCAAAATAAGTACAGACTCGAGAACTCTGTGAAAAAATATTGTTGGTTAACTTAAAAAAGTAACCTGGTTGCCTTAAAGTTCATTGAAATGGAAAATTGAGTTAATACAATGAAGGAGATTGATTTAATTATCAGAAACTCAAAATATTCTGTTATCTGACCTACATAAATTATGTAAGTTGATTTGACAATAGAAAAAATGTTGTGATTACAAATCATGAAAATATTTTTTTTTTACAAAGTTACTACTTTAATGTTTTAAGTACAATCAACTTGGATGGATGTTTAAGTCATTTGAACTTAAATTACATTAAACTGACATAAAAAATAGTTGAATCTTGTATAATATGTATATACTGTATATATATATATATATATTTTTTTTTTAATTACTTCATTTTCTATTTAAAACTGCAGTGAACCAAAGATAGTCTCAAAATGAGGTTTGAAATCTCAGCTGTTTCTGATATCACAGACTACCTTGTAACCAAATTTCATGTGATTGTCAACGAGTGGATCTCTGAGCTGGTGTGAGTGAGTAGAGGCGGGGCTCAGTCATTTGCATATTTATAGAACCAGGTATACTAAATGAGGTACAGTTGTAGCGTTACATTCAAGCTATTTTAAGGAATGAACTTTTTTTTCCAAGGAAAAAACGTTTAAATGTCATTTTTAAGTGATAAAATTAAAGACTACATTGGGACTTTAACTTATTTTGTTGAGTTAAAGTGATGAAAAATATGTGTTGTCATAACTTAAAGATCATATCATTTTTACTGTGAATGTGATTTCAGACACACCCATGTTGTTCACGGCAGCCAATGAAGACCATAGGCGGCCATTATGCAAATTTGATACAAACCCTCACGCAAGAAAGTGAGACTAGAATTACTGACGACTCGTTCCAGGCAGTTCAGAATCGATTCTTTCTTTTGGGGAGACAATACTTCATTTATCTTACACTTTGATCTTTGAAACTTTGCAGACCTTACATTCACAAACAGCTATATTACACACTATACGAAAGGTAATATATGAAAAACCATAATAGGAGCACTTTAAATGCTAAATATTACTTTTTTTAGGCTACATTTTGTCATTGGAACAACATACCTATTCCAAATGGAATAAAACACTCTTTCCTGAGAAGCTTGCCCTGTTCATCCAGAAATCGAGCTGGATTGAAGTCATCAGGATTTTCCCACACAGTAGGATCCCTGTGTGCTGACCAGAGGTTTGGGATGATAACTGTTCCTTTAGGAATAGTGTAGCCTCGAAACTCTAGTGGGAAGAGACAAATTTCGCTGAAAAATGTATTTAAACTATTTAAAAAAAACGTATTAACTTTTTTGGTGTCTTCTGAAAGTATTTGTACAGTGATAATATTTCAACAACCCTTGGATTTGATATAAAAAATACAGATTTTAAAAGGTTAAGGTTGACTATTATCAACCTTGTGCCGGATTATGGCAGAGTTTGAGTTGACCTGATTTAGTTTCATTCATTAATAATTTACTTTAGACAAACATACAAAAAACAACACAGAAGACCAAAACTCACCCGTGGTTTCGGAGGCCATGTGAGGTATTGACAGAGGAACCACTACAGTCATCCTCTGCACCTCCATAATGGTGGCTTCTGTGTACGGCAAACTGCCCTTATCGGTCAGAGACGGGACTCTCTCGGACCCCACCACGCCATCGATCTCCTGCTGAACTCTCTCTGAGGGGGTCATCAAACAAAGAGCTGGTATATATCATCAGCCAAACCCTCAGATGTTTGTAAATGACATCACCTTTACCTTGCACATCCGGATGCAAGGCCATATAGAGAATACTCCACAGGACGCTATTCGTGGTAGTGTCAGTGCCTGCGATGAAGAGGTCCCCGATGATGTAGAAGAGATCGTCTTCTGAGAACAGACACTCTTCTGAACTCCCTTCCTTTTGCTTGGCCAGCATCTCCACCAGATACATATCTATGAAATCCCTGGGATTGTCCGGATCCAGCGTAGCCCTGTGCCTCGCTATGATTTTCTTCAGGAAGGCGGTGATGTCGACCTCGGCGCGCCGCAGCTCCTTGAAAACGCCCCAGGGCAGGTAGTAGAGCCAGGGGAACACGTTGATCAGCAGAATGGAGGTGTTGACGCTGATCTCCAGCCCGTGAGACATGAGGTCCAGCATGGTCCGGAACTCCTGGTCCTGGTGATGGAAACGCTGGCCCAGAGTCAGGGAGGAGATGACGTTGGAGACCGCGTTGCTGATGAGAGGAGTGAGGTCCATTCCTGACGGCCCCGTGTTCTCCATGAGGTCCCGCAGTTCTGTTTTGATCATGGTCAGGCCTTCGGTGATGCACGGCTCCAGACTCAGCTTCCCGAAGCCAAAGCTGCGCAGAGAACTGTGACAGAACTTCCGGTTCGTTCGCCACAGCGGGCCGTAGGGTGCAAACACAATCCCTGCGAACGACATCCACTTCAGACATAGAACGCTTGGCTTTTTCAGATCGAAACGCTATTTTTTTTGGGGTTTTTTTTACAATTCTTTAAAAAATTATTTTATGGTCCCCAATATGGTGACCTGACCAGTATTTGGTATTATATAGAGTAAAATGAATTGGATTTCTGAAACCAGGCCCAGGTTCTTTGTTCTATTCTATTTTTCCTATTCTGTTCTGTTCTATTCTATTGTGACATATTCTGTTTTGTTTAATTCTATTCTACTTTAATGTTTTGTGTTTTTCATTTCTTGCTTGTCCTGTTTAGTTCTACTTTGCTCCAGTCTACTCTACTGATCAATTCTATTCAAGTCCAGACATTATATTTTCTTCCTCTTTGTTCTATTCCATTCTGCTATTTTTTCTGTTCTGTTCCATTGTATTGTGACCTATTCTGTTTTCTTTACTTTATTGTTTTACGTTGTTCTTTTCTCGCTTGTCTTGTTCAGTTCTATTGTGTTTTACAGAATTATATAATTCTGTTCTATTCTACTCTACTGATCTATTCTATTCTGGACCAGAAATTATATCATTTCTTGCTTTTCCTGTTCAGTTCTATTATGTTTTGCTGAATTATATCATTATGTTCTATTCTGCTCCAGTCTACTCTACTGATATTCTATTCTGGACCAGAAATTATATTTTCTTCTTCTTTGTTCTATTCTATTTAGCTATTACTTCCTATTCTGTTCTATTCTGTTGTGACCCATTCTGTTTTGTATAATTCTATTCTACTTGTATTGTTTTATGTTGTTCATTTCTCGCTTGTCCTGTTCAGTTCTATTATGTTTTACAGAATTATTTCATTATGTTCTATTCTGCTCCAGTCTACTCTACTGATCTATTCTATTCTGGAGCAGAAATGATATTTTCTTCTTCTTTGTTCTATTCTATTTTGCTATTTTTCCCTATTCTGTTGTTGTGACCTAATCTGTTCTGTATAATTCTATTCTACTTGTATTGTTTTATGTTGTTCATTTCTCGATCGATGGTCCTGTTCAGTTCGATTCTGTTTTGCAGAATTATATCATTATGTTCTATTCTATCATTCGATTATGTTCTATTCTGCTCCAGTCTTCAGTTCAGTTCTATCATCCATTATTTTGTTCTATTCTGCTCCAGTCTACTCTACTGATCTATTCTATTCTGGACCATAAATTATATTTTCTTCTTCTTTGTTCTATTCTATTTTGGTATTTCTTTTCTTCCAATTCTGTTCTGTTCTATTCTACTGTGACCTATTCTGTTTTGGATTAATTCTATTTTACTTTATTGTTTTATGTTGTTCATTTCTTGCTTGTCCTGTTCAGTTCGATTCTGTTTTGCAGAATTATATCATTATGTTCTATTCTATCATTCGATTATGTTCTATTCTGCTCCAGTCTACTCTACTGATCTATTCTATTCTGGACCAGAAATTATATTTTCTTCTTCTTTGTTCTATTCTATTTAGCTATTACTTCCTATTCTGTTCTATTCTGTTGTGACCTATTCTGTTTTGTATAATTCTATTCTACTTGTATTGTTTTATGTTGTTCATTTCTTGCTTGTCCTGTTCAGTTCTATTCTGTTTTGAAGACTTATATCATTATGTTCTATTCTGCTCCAGTCTACTCTACTGATCTATTCTATTCTGGACCAGAAATTATATTTTTGTCTTCTTTGTTGTATTCTATTTTGCTATTTCTTCCTATTCTGTTCTGTTCTATTCTGTTGTGACCTATTCTGTTTTGTATAATTCGATTCTACTTGTATTGTTTTCTGTTGTTCATTTCCCACTTGTCCTGTTCAGTTCTATTCTGTTTTGCATATCATTCTGTTCTATTCTATCATTCTATTCTGTTCAATTCTGCTCCATTGTATTGTGTTCTATTATATTATGTCAGTCTCTTCTACTTCTCTATTCTGTTCAATTCGAAATGTTTCTGTTCTGTCACTTCTACTGTTCTATTCTGTTAAATTCTAAATCATTATATTCTGCTGTAGTCTATCACACTCTGTTCTATTCTATGTCAGTCTCTTCTGTTGCTCTGTTAATTTTAAATGATTCTATTCTATTCTGCTCCAGTCTGTCATACTCTGCTCTATTCTATTCTGCACTGTTTTTTGTTCTACTCAATTCTGAGTCAGCCTCTTCCACTTTCTATTCTATTCTACTCTATTGTGTACTGCTCTAATCTACTGATCTATTATCAAGGCATCCAGCAATCATTAACTACGACAGGTTATCTTACCTTTCCTCTTGGTGATAATAGTAACGAGCGGTATGTGTGGTCTGTCAGAGAACACCTCCGGATAGTTTACCATCGCGTCCCGGACAGCGTCATACCCCGTCAGCACGACCATGAGCTGAGGCCCAACAAAAATGCTGAATATGTTTCCATACAGTTTGGACATCTCCATAAGTCCAGCCTGAGGTGAGATCGGATTTGAAGCCGTCTTTGTAAACTCTTCGCGATTCTTTGCAAATCGTTTTGAAATAAATGAAGGCACTAAGAAGCCCCCGAAGTTGCCCACGATGGGCCATGGCTTTGGACCGGGAGGGATGTTCGCGTATCTGTGATGATTCTGGTACTGTTGCAGCACATAGAAAACAAGCACGAACGCAGTTAAACCCACAAGGTTAGCGGGCGAGAACACATACTGCCACAGCAGACCCGGGGACGCGTCCATGACTCGCTCGCTTTTCAGATCCACTGACTCCTAAAACAGACGCATAGTTCCTCCGGATCAATATTTGTTATCTGCTGATCAAACGCATTTTCTTCCTGACTGTGTTCTTGGAGCTGCAGCATGGGTTGCGTGTTTTTGTATTTTTCATTGGCTGAGAGGAGCACGCTGAGAGCTGATTGGTGAATCGAGACGAATGGGCGGGTTCAACTGAGGTCACTATCCCCAATAGAGGAAGCAGACAGAAGTTTCACAAGAGATGATTGTCTTATCATGAGGTTTCACTTCTTTTGTCAATATATATATATATATATATATATATATATATATATATATACACATACACACACACACACACACACACACATATATGTATATATATACACACATATGTATATATATATATATATATATATATATAGTCAGATTTCTAAACAATGTTATTTAACATAAGAAATATTAAGAAATTTCTTTCTTTGGAGCCTCTACAATAACAGTAACACTTACATTAAAAGTAAAAGACATGTAATTATATTTACAAGTAGCATCGCAATTTGCTTCCTCAATGCAATTTTGAAAGATCTTTGAAAATTTTATGCAACAAGTACACCACGTGTTAATGTAGACCATTTATTTTCATAAAACGTAGAAAATATATTTTATAATATATAAGCATAAAATGAACCAAAATAAAACTGAATGCATGCATTTTTAATATAAAATAGTGTATAAAATTAATAAAACCCAGTTTAAAGTGACAAACATGTTTGTCAACATTATGAAAAACATGTTTTAAATAACAATTAAATACAAGGTGGAAAAAACAAGAGGAAAATATGACAACTAAGAAGCATGCAAAAACTGATAGATTTGTTTTGATAGAGATTTTCCAAAAATCCACCATTTTACAACCAGTAAGCCATTTAAAATACTGTCAAAATTGCTTATTTAAATGGCCACAATGAAGGAATGTAAATAAATGTTAAAAAAAAAAAGAAAAGAAAAAAAAAGTCAACAATGACTTTTCAATGATTATTGAGGTTTACAATTTTTGGTCTTCATGAACTATTTGGCTCTTTGTTAAATGAGATGTAATTAATATAAACAGAAGCCGAACAGTCTTTGGTCTTTGGTATGGTGTAAACACTGAGATAGCCACAAGCCAGAAACAAAGCATTTCCACGTGGTGGCCGAAGCGTTGTGACGAATCACATCACTCCTCTCGGCTGCTCTGCACCATGGAATATTTCTTACAGGGGTTCTTCAGGCAGGCAGGGGGCCATGTGATCGGCCAGCAGAAAGAACAGGGCACTTGGGTCTGGATGTTCCTCTCGAAGAAGTTAAACACGGGGTTCCACCAGGTGTGAGTGAGGTAGTTGTTCGGAGAACACTTTAAAGTCTGGTGAAAACAGGAAAACATTATTTATAATAATTAATGTCATACTAAGGGAATACAAATAGAAACAACAGAAAGAACATTTTTATTCATGTTCATCGTTTTCTAAAATCAAAAGTGGCAATGTCAAGGATAAAATAAAATTCATTTTCATGAAAAAAAAAAAATGCAGCTTGGATAAAGTTGGTTGGTTGCATTGTGATGTAATTTTTTATGAAAGCTTTTTTCCACCACAAAAAAAGAAGGTAATTGCAACTTTTCATCTCATAAACTCGAAGTGTCGAATAAGAATTGTGAGTAAAATGTTAGCATTGCAAGTTAAAAATGCTAGATTGTGAGAAAAAAGCCAGAATTGCAAGTTATAAACAGAATTGTGATAATAAAGTCATAAATTCAGAATTTCAAGAAAAGAAAAAAAAAATAGATTTGCAAGTTGTAAAGTCAGAATTGCGCGTTCTAAACTCACAATTTGAGGAAAAAGCCAGAATTGCGAGTTATAAACTCAGAATTTTGAGGAAAAAGTCAGAATTGCGAATTATAAAAGGAATTGTGATAATAAAGTCAGAATTGTGAGTCATAAACTCAGAATTTCAAGAAAAGAAAAAAAATTAGATTTGCAAGTTATAAACTCAGAATTGCACGGAAAAGGTCAGAATTGCGAATTATAAACACAGAATTTCAAGAAAAGAAAAAAAAATAGATTTGTAAGTTATAAACTCAGAATTGCAAGGAAAAAGTCAGAATTGCGAATTATAAATAAAATTGTGAAAATAAAGTTAGATTTGCGAGTTCTAAACTCAGATTTGCGAGGAAAAAGTCAGAATTGTGAATTTCAAATTCAAAATTGCGAGTTTTAAACTCAGAATTGCAGGAAATAAAGATCTGCGAGAAAAGGTCACAATTGTGAGTTATCAGAACTCAAGAATTACTAGGAAAAAGTCAGAACTGCGAGTTATAAACTCTGTGAGATAAAAACTCATAATTGCTAAAAGATATATTTTATTTTTATATTCTGTGGCAGAAAAAAAAAGCTTTCACATGTTTTAGATCCAAAGCAATTCCATGAAAATCAAAGTTATCATTAAAGGACAGAAGCCCTATATCAACATCAGGACACACACATGATTGTGTTTGAGATCTCTCCAGTCAGGATCCAACAAATGACATTTGCATAAAACTCTCACTGCATTTACATTTATTCATTGATGATTCTTCCGGCTATAACCACCGCCACAAATATAATTTCAGAGATATGACAGTTTTGATAACACGGGCTACTTTGCTTATAACTGAATGAACACTTGTGATGTGTTTTGATAGTTTAAAAGGATTTTTTTTTTCCTGTGTAAAAGATGGAGATCGGCTCAAATCGAATGTGCTGCACTTTACCATCATCAGGGAGTCATTTCTCAAATGCTCGGCCTAATGGATTTTGATATTCTCAGTAAACTCTGAGCCATGTAAACACTTTCAGTAAAAGGCTTAGTGCCATTTTGGTGCCTTTGATTTAATGACCCCCCAGAATCTACAGTAAATCACTAATTGATCTGCCAGCATCCTTTGGTTTCAGTTGTCTACTTTGGGTTTGTAGTTGTCTATATGAGGCTGGAGGTCAAACCTAAGGTCAAAGAAATCAACAATATTTCAAACGAATCAAAAACGAAAACTCATTTAAACAAAAGCATATTTAGACCCCATGAAATAAAAATGTTGACTTATCTTACATTTCAGCTCTGAGTCAAGCTACACTACCATTCAAAAGTTTGGGGTGTATCATTTTTTTTTTCAAAGAATTTAATACTTTTATTCAGCGAGGATGCATTGAATTGATCAAAGGTGTCAGTAGACATATTGTTATACAAAATATTTCTTTCAAATAAATGCTGTTCTAACAGCTGCTCTGACACTGAAGACTGGAGTAATGATGCTAAAAAATTCAAGTTCGCATCACAGAAATCGAATCGAATCTTGATGCATCAGATTTAAGTAATTTCAGACCAATATCTAATCTTCCATTTATTGCGAAAATCATGGAAAAGGTCGTTCTTAATCAACTACACTCCTTTCTGAGTACAAATTCATTATATGATACCTTCCAGTCAGGATTTAGGAAACTACACAGCACCGAATCTGCTTTATTGAAAGTCACTAATGACATTATGCAGGCTATAGATAATGGGGTGTGCTGTTGCCCTGGTCCTTTTAGATCTTAGCTCTGCTTTCGACATGGTAGACCATTCAATTCTCATATCTCGACTGACGAACTTAGGCATTCAGGACACCGTTTTAAATTGGTTTCATTCTTTTTTAACAAATAGAACTATCTCTGTTTGTATTGGAAATTGCACTTCCTCTGCAGCACATCTTTCCTGCGGTGTACTACAGGGATCCATTTTAGCCCCAACATTATTTTCCTTATATATGTTACTAATGGATTCTATTTTTTTCTAAACATGGAGTATCATTTCATTTATACGCTCATGATACTTAGTTGTATTTCCCATTTAAACGAAACAACTCGAGCTCTCTAGAAGTTCTACTTGCATGCTTTCAGGAAGGCTATGGCTGGCACAACATTTTCTGGCTCTAAATGAGAACAAAACTGAAGTAATGCTGTTTGAACTTCCTTGTGATCGATATGACTTCAGTATTCTAGATCTTGATGAGTTAAACCCTCGTGTTACATCATCTGCAAAAAATCTAGGTTTTATATTTGACTCAGGCCTTAAAGGGTTAGTTCACCCAAAAATGAAAATTAAGTCATTAATTACTCACCCCCATGCTGTACCAACCCCGTAAGACCTTCGTTCGTCTTCGGAACACAAATGAAGATATTTTTGATTAAATTTGAGAGCTGTATAACTACCACATTGGCTCCTAAGGGACTGCCTCTTGACGGCCCAAAAAGTCAATGAAGAAAATGTTTAAATATTCCAAGTGACTACCGTGGCTCAACTATGTGTTTATCAAGCGACGCGAATACTTTTTGTGCGAAAAAACAAACAAAAATAACGAGTTTATTCGACTATTTCTTTTCTTCCTTGTAGGCCAGAACGAGACTTCCTTAGATTTCCACGACGCATGCGCGAGATTTGCGATCTGCTCACACCAGCTTACACTACTTCAGATCGCAATTCTCGCGCATGCGTCGTGGAAATCTATAAGGAAGTCTCGTTCTGGCCTACAAGAAAGAAAAGAAATAGTCGAATAAACTCGTTATTTTTGTTTGTTTTTTCGCACAAAAAGTATTCGCGTCGCTTGATAAACATATAGTTGAGCCACGGTAGTCACTTGGGATATTTAAACATTTTCTTCATTGACTTTCTGGGCCGTCAAGAGGCAGTCCCTTAGGAGTCAATGTGGTAGTTATACAGCTCTCAAATTTAATCAAAAATATCTTCATTTGTGTTCCGAAGACGAACGAAGGTCTTACGGGGTTGGTACAGCATGGGGGTGAGTAATTAATGACTTAATTTTCATTTTTGGGTGAACTAACCCTTTAAGTTTGATCAACAAATTAACTCTGTTGTTAAAACCTGTTTTTTTTTTTCATCTACGGCGTCTTGCAAAAATCCTTTCTATATCCAAAAAAATTTGAAACAGTGAAACGAATCGACCTCACGAATCGTCTATTGTAATTCACTTTATATTGGAACTAACTAATTATCCATCGGGCGCCTTCAACTAGTACAAAATGCTGCTGCCAGACTCTTGACAGGTAGTCGAAAGTTCGATCATATCTCCGATCTTAACTTCCCTAACCTGGATCCCAGTCAAACAGAGAATTGAGTTTAATACCTTTAATACCACCCCTTTAATACCTTTGATATCATGTGACACACAACAGGAAGACAAACAAAATCCTTATAATAAAAGCCCAATTCAAGTATTTCATATTACTGATACATGTACCTGCAGATTAGCCATAGTGTGATACCAGTAGAACAGTCGTGTGGTGATGAAATATGCCACCACCACGTCCACGCTGTAGTGTTCATGAGCCACCAGGATACACACAACTCCCACAGCGGCCGTTAACCAACACATGAGATGGTACCACCAGAAAGAACGAGGAGAATCTGAAAAAAAAAAAGAGAAAGAATCAACGATGAATCATAACGGGTAGCTTTGCGAATGATGAACATGCTGAATGGCCAGAAAGTGCCTCTGAGTGGCTAAAAACAGAATCTAGGTCTGTAATTAGCAAACAGCCATTGTATTTGTGACATACACTCCTTGAGGAAGAGGTACGTGAGCGTGAGGATGACAGTGTGTCCGCTGTACAGGAAGTCTCCACACAGCAGATGGGAACCAGTGATTGATAATCCACCACCAGAGAGCAACTGCAGAACACGCTGCAGCTTCGCTTGCGAATCTCCGTAGAGCTGAATGAAAGGAAATTATGAGTGAAGATACTGAATGTTTAAAGATGAATCATGAAAGGAAAAGTCATTCCAAAAACTGATAGTCTGAACTCTTTGTATTTGTCTCGAGGAAGACAGAGGATATTACAGATTAAAGAAGCCAAATGCCTTTTAGTTTTCTTCTCTAATAATATCCAGGTATAAGATCCTGAGGGGATCGAGAGAGTGAGGAACAGCTGAGATACCGTTTTAAATCGGCGTTTACCTTTGGGGCGCAAACCATGTGCATGCCAGGCACGGGTAGAGTGGTGACGTACATGGTTATGCATCTATACATGTACAATGTGCCCAGAAGGAAGAAATATCGTCTTCCTACAATTGCCCTATGGAACAGAAAAAAATAAGTCATTATTGAATAGATAATTTTTTTTTTACTTAGTACGTTTATATATATATATATATATATATATATACTACTGCATGACTTTCCCCCAATTAAAAATTGGAACCATCCATAAAATTGTAACCCAATTATTTACATCAGTTGGACCCTTTTTTGGCTGGATGGGGGTTAAAAAGTAAATGCGTCCATTTTTCATTTGGAAAATTCCATTTTTAAAAATATTATTACGATTAATTCAAATCAAGATAATAAAAAAACATTTTTTAGGATATTTAAGATGTTAAAGTGTTAACAGAATTACACACAAACACACACTTCCATTAAAAAATGGCAAACCTCATGTAAAGTATATAGAACAAAAATATTATTTAGTTCTGTTACACATTATTTCGACATTCGAGCACAGCTTTAGACATTCCACTTACTAAAAGTAACTTTGCAACTACAAGTTAACTAGGATTCATTAAAGTATTAGTAGACTGTAAACTGTAAAAATGAATATGCTTTATCGAAACAAAAAAAAATGTGCCAACAGATTACAAGAAATATTATGAATTAAACTTAACAAATTAGAATTGAGTAATAATTAATCAAATGAATTCCTTAAAAGTTAACCATTTAAAATGAGTAAAACTTACAACCAAAAAAAAAAAAAAAAAAAACGTAAATTGAAGTCACCATTATGGTGATCGGTGTTTGTTTTAGGTTTGTTTTAATATGACGGTTTTCTCCTTCCGTGATTCTGCTTGTAAACATCACGTGTCTTCAATGTTGGCAATATAAAATAAAGAGTTCTCAATTAATCTTTAACGCCTGTCTGTTAGTGAGATATTTTTGTTACATTTTTTGGTGTAAAGTTTACTCATTTTAAATGGTTAACTTTTCAGGAATAATTTGATTAATTATTACTCAATTCTAATTTGTTAAATTTAATTAATAATAAATAATTAATAATAAATAATAATAAAACAAGGTATACATCTTGCTTTTGGAAACATTGGACTCGAAGCCTGTACGTGTTTTATTAATGATGCCTCTTCAATTTTTACTGTTTTTAACTGTTTGTATTGTTATTTATTTATTTAAATATCTGTACTGTGTTGTCTCTATGGACCTTTGTGTCTGGAATAAAGTTGATTGATTGATTGATTGATTGATTGAATATTGCTTGTAATCTGTTGCCACAATTATATTGATTAGATAAAGCATTCATTTTTACAGTGCACTCTTAAAAAAGTAGTAAAAGGACCTTAACCTTAACAAAAACATTTAATAATATAACTAAAGATAACACTTTATTTTGATGGTCCACTTAAGATATTATACTATCTATAAGTAACTTTGCAACTTCATGTCAACTAACACTCATTAGAGTATTGGTAGACTGTTAGTTTAATATCTGCTAACACTTTATTTTGATGCTCACCAACAGACATTCTACTTGAACTCGGACTTTATTTGTCATTATACATAGTATATAAATTATGAGTGCCGTTTTAAATTCTACTGACTATATGTAAATTTGCAACTACAAGTCAACTTATTCTACTAACCTGAACCCTAACCCAACAGTCTACAAGTCCTATTTTATACTCTTTTTTTGTGTGTGTAAAGTGCTAGGTTATGATATCTATGAAATTGATTTTCTCAATGCAATATTAATTTACATAATAACTGCCCTCAAGTTTCACATTTAATTCTCCCTGCTCTTCATCATCTTAAACATAACCCTAACAAACCATTACAAGCCAGAGTAATCTAATAGAGCAGATCAATAGACTACAATGTCTTCATCAGTATAATGTTGAGTGATGCCTCTTACTTGTATCTGTGAAAGAGCAACTGAATGGACCATACAGACACCAGAACCATTCCATTGACCTCGGTCACAGTAAACGCCCACTGCACGCGGTCTATATAGTCAAAGAACTTATCCGGCAGGGGTGGGCTGTTCTCCTTGGGTGGTACTCTCTCATGAACCACAGTGATCATAACCGTGGTCAAAACCAGGTTCAAAATGGCATAAAACAAAGCGATGAACGTCTTCCACCATTCTGACGGCAATCGGTTGACCTTTCCTTCAGGCACAGAAATTTTGACATAGTCTCGGTGTCTGACCAGTCCTTTCCTCAAGCCGTTCCGCTTCGCCTCTTCAGCATTGTGGCTGTGCACGGGGCAAGATGTGCCAGGGGATGGAGCTCCATCTGTTCTGGAAGCGTCTGCGGGGTCCTTAATTTCTTGGTGGTCTTCTGATGCCATGAGTGCCCACAACTACCCACTAACAACTGACTTCCTGCCAAGACGCCCTCCTGTATGGCACAGAAGGTTCCTCTCCTCTGTGCTGATAATGAAAGGCCTCTGTTTTCAGCTCTCAAATGATGTGGCAGGAACAGTCTTTTGAAAAAAGAAAACAGAAGTACATTAAATGGACAAGAAGTAGACATTTATGAAACGTTCAAAGTTTTGCATCATCTAACATGTACGTTAATAATCAATAGAGGCTATTTCTGACCATGAATATTACAGGCTTAAAAGCTAAATTACTGTCCTTAATTGACATGATTTCTTGGAATAAAACAAAAGAGTGTAAAAAAAAAAGAACATAAATTGATTGAAAGTGATGATAAATTCATTTATAATGTTACACAAGATTTCTTCTGAATCAAATAAATGCTGTTCTTTTGCAATTTCTATTCATCGAAAAGGAAAATCAGTTTCCACATGAATATTAAGCAGCAAAACTGTTTTCAACATTGATAATAATCAGAATTTTAGCAAATCTTCATACTTCATATATTTCTGAAGGATCATATGACACTGAAGACTGGAGTAATGATGCTGAATAGTTAACTTTACATCACAGGAATAAATTACATTAAGTTGTAATAATAGAGTGGAGAAGTTACGACGTCACGTAGGCCAAAACGCGGAAGTGAGTTAGCATTTTAGCACGTCCGGTTCCCTCGCTCTAAAGTCTATGGGATTTTTGAATGGGTTTTTGTTAAATCGCCTGAAATAACGTCTGTGGTGAACAAAGCCTCTAAATATTTTCACGTTTTGATCTATGACATAAAACACACTAGTTATAACCAGCTCGTGGTTTTTTTAAACTTTATTGTGTTTGCTTGTGTTTTTTAAAACTTTATATAGGCTAGGCTTCAAAATGTATACTTTTTTTTTATTATTAATTTGTAAAGATTATCTTGATAGACAAAACGTGTAAGGTTCACAACTCTTTGTTAAATACAGATCTTATATTTTTTTTTGCGATTTTCCAAAGGTCTATGGGGAAAATGCATGGCTTTTCGATCGAGGGAACCCATGCGCCGCTAGCTTCTGAGTTGTCCTACAAAGTGATGTTATCACTTCGGCACTCTATATTTCATGTCACTACTCTTTTTATGTATTTTTGATGAATACATAAATTGAATGCACATGCACACACTAAAAATCACTAAAACTGACTAAATAATAAGTTTTATTATATGATTAATTAGCTGTTTAGCTATTTTCTTTCTCAATTTCGTACAGGCACAAAGTTAAAGGAGAACTCCGGTCAATTTTAACATTGCGCTCATTTTTTTTTTTTTGTACATTTGGAGTGCTGTCAGACTAAAACAACAAAAATCAGTGTTGCCTACACCGTGATATCCTCTTTTCAAAATTCGCACCCAGTTGACTTCAATGGGGCAAGTTCTAAACCTGCTTAACATCCTTGATTTGTCTTTAAAAGTGCACGGTAACGTTACACCACAGTCAATTTGACTGCAGTAGAAGTGAAAGATATTAATAAAAATGATGTTAATTCAGCCAGCTCACATACCTGTATTGTGTCTTGTTTTCGGTCGAAGTCGACAGTAGTCGATTGTCGAGTTCGCGCGCGCGATCATTGGCTCATTGTGAGCTGGCTGAATTAACATCATTTTTATTAATATCTTTCACATCTACTGCAGTCAGGTTGACCGAGGTCACTCTTAATAACACCACTCACATGGCTGTGCACACGTAATGACAAATCAAGGATGTTATGAGGCTAAAAGCAGGTTTAGAACATGCCCCATTGAAGTCAACAGGGTGCGAATTTTAAAAAGAGGATAACACAATGTAGGCAACACCGATTTTTGTCTGTACTGACAGCACTCCAAATGTACAAAAAATGAGCTCAATGTTAAAATCTTTCATCTATTCTGTATGAAACATTGGACCCCCGCATTACAATGCGTGCATTGTAATCAAAAAAGCAAAGCATATCATTCAAAACCCGAAACATCAGAAACAACTGCAAAATGCTGTCTAGAGAAAAGCCACATGAACTAAAAGTAGCTGTGTTCATGTTCGAGTCCAGCTGTGACTTCTCAACCCAGAAACAACAGCATTTCAGAAATGGCCTTTTCTATTTATCCGAAAGCTGTCAGGTCCGAGAACATCTCTGCTCCATCACACCCCAAAGTGCATCTCAAAAACCATCATTACGACGACATTCAATATTTATAAACAACAAACCGAGCTTCAGGAAGAATGATGGATAGTGAGAATCACTCAACACGAAGGCATCGATTTCCTCCAAATCAATTTAGGCTGTATTGTAATTGTATTGGAAATGAGTTCTTATTACAAACCTGCAACATTTATCCACTGTACACCCATCATCATATCTAATAACTCTTGTACAACTACATTATGCGAATGCAAAATCAAAAACAATACTAAGAGTTTATCCTATAGCTATATTTCTCTCATTCAGAATCACTTGCCTGTCGTTTCCCGCAGCTCTACACTCCTCCTCTGACAATCTCTCTCAAACTTACATGTTCACAGGGGCATGTTTTCCCAGTCTCCACCCTGCGCTCTAATAGTGATGCTTGTGGTGGAGACCTGGCAGGGGAAAATCTCTTCCACATGCTCCCAGAGACAGTAAATGCACGTCTTGGCTCCGTGTGCTATTTCCAGCCTTGCCTCCTGCCTCCAGACCAAGGCTGTATTTTACTCCCAGGGAGCAGCACTGCCCGGTCGCAAACAAATTGGTAATGATATGTTTCCGAGGCCTGTTGAGCTCCCCGCCCCCCCTCCCCTCCCAGCTCGCGCGGAGCTTCAATTCAGCATCAAAGGGAAGGATGGAAAAAGCTGAAGAGACCCCGCCTCACACTTAAAAAGATGAGAGAGAAAGGCTTTTCTTCTCGTGTGCTGACTCTGAGTTGATTATATGATCCCTTTCAGGCACACTCATGCACTTGTGTTTTCAAACTTGCGTACTTTACTGAATTTGAGCGGATTATGATGAAGGATTCGACACTTGCTGTGTCGTTTGCATAAAGGCATCTGTTTCATGAATAATGTAAATGCATATAGTACACTAACATACACTTCCTGGAACATGTTTTGGATGTGGATTGAAAACCAAGCTTTAGATATTACCATTTCAATTGTAACATTGTGACATTGTTAAAGTTGCAGTTGCTACCTTATGGGTTATTTCTACACTGCAAAAAAATATGATAATTTGAGCGTGTTTTACAAGAAAACCATGTTTTAATCCAACTTCAAAATGTCATGTTTAATTCAGAGTAACTTGCTGTCTATTTGTAATTATGGCTGACATTTACAAGTAGTTTCTGACTAAAAATTGTTTGTACATCAAATGTTTTTCAGTGTGCCTGTTCTGACCCTTAACAATATCTTTAGTTGATGTTTTCTAATATATTCAGTGATATTTTGACTTGAATAAAAACATTATCTTGATGTAGAAATGTTGAAACTAATTGTCGGTTTTGAAAGCAGAGGAAGGTGTGTGCAGGTTTGGCTGTGTAAAAAGTGGAAAACGAGCCCATGATTTGCAATGGGGTTTGGATAATTTCGAGCTATATTTACAAACGTTTATGTTAGATGTGATTAATTGCGATTAATCGATTTGACAGCACTAGTTCTCACTATTTGAAATATGTATACTAGGGTTGGTTTAACAGACATCATCACCTCTGTGAGATGTCTTAGTGAAACCAACGTGTGTGTAACCATGCAATTATGTTCAGATGTAAATTATAAACTATTTACACACCCTTTGAAGGTTTATGGGATGCCTCCTTGGCTGGGCTTAAACCACTGTGCCTCTCCCATGTGAATTGATAGCTGGATGGGAGAGAGGACGGTTGCAATGTAATGAGTTGTTACGTCCTACAAAGAGTGCATATTTGTAATGTTCAGCAGGTTTCCAAATTTAGATTGTGTTCGTTGAATTGGACTGTAAACTGAACATTAAGCAACTGGATAAAAGTTCCAAATAATCTCTGAATATAATCAAAAAGATATAGAAACAAGAGGATTAGGCCTACAGAAATTCAGAAATTTACAGACAGGATTAATTACAGAAAAATATAGTTTACCCAAACGTTACAAATTCTGAGATTGTTTACTTTACTCACTCTCAAAGTTATTCCAAACCTAAACCTGAATGTCTTTTGGGATGTCAGTAGCTAACCAAACAGCTGTGAGACGCATTGACTTCCACAGTATGGAAAATACTATTGAAGTCAATGGGGAAATTTTCAGAAATATCTTCTTTTGTGTTCAGCAGAAGAAAGAAACTCATACACGTTTTGAACAACTTGAGGGCGAGTAACGTAAATTAAGACATTTTTTATTTATATTTTTGTGTGAACTATCCCTTTAAGGGTCGCAAATAAACCATAATTCCAGCTGTCCTTTCTCTTTTAATCCAAAACCGAATGTCAGCAACAAATTAGATATCATAAACTATCAGGTTTATAACTCATTACACGTAACTACTAAAGAAGAAACATAACGTTACCTTTTTTCATGTTTAGTGGGCAACTCTTCCTCTGCAGTGTTCTCTCGCACTCGGCGCCCTTCACTTTTTTCTTTATTTAAAACGAGATTGATTTTAGGAGATCAAATAAATCTATGTGAAAATGCTGAAAGTGCATCAGTGAAAACAAAAGCTAGATTGATTGATTACAAGAATATACGACGTTTTTCAAAATGTTATCGCTGGCGTGAGGATGTAACCATAGCAACGACAACGGTATGATGCTGTGCGCTGCATTTAAAACAGTATTTATTTTTATATCATTCAAAACAAGTTTGGACAAAAATTGTGAACAAGATCGCTAAATGACATAATTTATTATTATTATTATTTACGAGACTTTAAAACCATAATTAAAAATAAAATAAAAACACTTCTCATACAGTAGTTTTGAATTGAAAACAGTTTTGTTCAGCATACCTTTGACTTTACTTTATAAAGTCACTACAAAATAAACATCACATAATTGATGCTTTGCATCTTTCCCCTATTTAAACATAACTGCTAACGTTACTGGAATTACGCCTCAAAAAAAGTGGCATTCACTCACTGTCACGCGATAAAAACCCATTATATGTGATTGCAACGAACGATTGCAACGTTGTTTTAAGTATTACTTGTTCATTTTCTTTGATTATAAAAATCATAAAACAAGCAATGTTATTTTGATAACATTTTTATTCGCCCACCAAAGCATCGATGGAACTCAAGCGCGATTGTCGGTTTATAGTCGGACTATTTTTAATGTAACACAAACAGTTGCACATGTGTTTCCTAGTGGTTGTTTTGCTCATTTCAAACAGTACTGTGAGTAGGTTCACTTCACAATCTTCCTTCATTTTTTTTTATTTTTTTACCTGATTGTACTTTGTAATGTCGTGACGCCACGGTAAACGGTCAGATAGCAATCTCACATAGTGACAAGTGACATTTATTGATGTGCTAAACTTAAACATTTATTGCACAAACTATACAATTCATGCGGCATAGGAGGTTTTTAGTTATTTATTTTTAGTTATAGAACACGTTATTTATAACTGTGCATCTTGTAACTGTGTTCCAGACATTCACTCTCATATTTAAATCTTTCACTGGCTTTATGCTGCTAAAACATTCATTTGAAATATTTTTAATGAGTCCATCCCTTTATTTCTATTGCAGACTTCAAGCCTTCCACTAGACAGTCAGAATGAAGCAAACTGAGGCACAAACAGACAGAGAGAGCCTCTATCTGGAAGTGTCCAGTGTGAACGGAGTCGTGTCTCTCCCCCTGCACTCCTCTATCGTCCTCTTCCTCCTCTCCTACACAGAGTGCTCTTCTTTCCACACCTACCTGGTCACAGATCAAGCAGACATCCTGCCGTCCCTGTCAGGGCTGGTGCCCGGGGGTCTCACTGTGTCTGGGGTGAAGAGGGACGAGCTGCCACGGCTGGTTAAGATGTGTCGTCTCCCCGCTGCGCTGGAGCCTGATGTTTGCTTTTGCAGGGCTGGCTTAGCTGTCGTACTGAGACACATAATTCAGAGTACATGCCAGCTAATGCCAAGCCGTAGGGATGTGGCGTCCCTCTTGGGCTTCAAGAACACCTGTCTCAAGGCTTGTGCTGAGGTGAGAATAAGATTTTCAAAACAACCAAGAGGACAAGTGCTTAAAATCCCATTGCATAGTCACAACAGGGCTTAAAAGTAACTTTTTGCCACACCTGTCAATGGCCGGTGACTTGTGAAAATGTACCGGCCATACATATGTTCTATCTTTGCAAATACAGGCAGTGATTACACCAAAAATTTAGTGAAAATTCTCTATTCCAGTTTCGATACCACAGCTAAAACTACTAGCTCACTACTATACCGGACCGGTAAAATAAAATATATATTTTTGAAAGAAAAGTAAACAGTCAGCAATAAAATAAGAAAAAAAAATCTAATTGCAATCAAATGCACAAATAAATACAATATAACAAAGACACAAATTAAATAATCTGCTTTTCAGGCTTTTCATGTAGGTCTAACAGTAAGTAAAATAATACTGCGTAGTCTTCACTGTATAAATTAAACATCCTTATTAATTAATCCTTTTTAAAGTTAAAAAATGTTTTCAGTCAAAGGGAGTGAGTGATTTTTTTTAAAAAAAATTTATTTTTTTTTTTGTCCTTTGTTGTTTGATGAAAATTAAAAACACATCAGGATTATTAGGCTGCTGTCACTTTAAAGAGTGAATGCACAGACCTAGTATACAGATACTGGGTTAAAGTGGGCCAGAACGGTCCTCAAATAAATGAATAAATGGATAGATTCATTAATCTCAACAAATTTGGCTGGTCCCGATTGCACCTACACAAAATTTGAGTGTTCCCACCGGCCAAATCCCACTTTAACCACTGTACACTTTGTTTGCTTTCTCAACTATATTTACTAGAATTCTCACTATTTCTTTGCCATGAGTATGTGTAAAAAAATGTCTCCATCTTCTTGGAGATGCTTGAATATTTAAATTGTCAAGGCTTAAACTTTTGTGACGATGCAGTGTCAACTGTCCCGAGCGTTGTTCATGTTTTTTAAAATTCATAAAAATGTTACTGGGAATGACACCATTTCATGTACTCGGCAAACCAGATTTTTACTCGCATTTGGTGCTTGGTGAGTGTTGATTTTAGGCCTTATAAGTGTGAACTACTGTAGCTGTGGGGTGACAAGCATGTTGACATGTTTTGACAGGCACGATCACTTAAATTTTGGAGGTCAACATCACAGAATCACACATTCAGATGTTGATATTTGAGCTCAATGCTTTTCAAATAGAAGCTGTAAGGCATAACAAAGCAAAAACAAGCTTGGGTTGCTCCCCTGATTCTTTTTTTGCTGTCTTTTAGAGCCTTGGGCTGTCACCAGGATAGGTGCGATGTCTCAAGACACCCGTTTCAGACATGTCTGTCAGATGCTAGTGATATTTATGGTTTTAAAATGCCTTAAAGCAACTTTCATTTTTTAGGAAGCTTTTGTTGTGTGTCATTCAATCTATTACAATTTCAAATGTATTTCATGGGCCATATCAGATGTTTGGGATGACAAAAAAATGCTGGGTTGTTTTAACCCAATTTTGGGTAAAATATGGACAAACTCAGCCATTGGGTTGCATTTTTAAATTACATTTTTAACCCAATGGCTGGGTTTGTAGATATTTTACCCCAAATTGGGCTAAAACAACCCAGCATTTAATATAAATGATTAAACCAATACTTTTAGTCAAAAGTTTGGAATACTTAATGTTTTTGAAAGAAGTCTCTTATGATATCCAGGGTTGCATTTATTTGATCAAAAATACAAAAATTAAAAATTAAAAAAATTAAAATCTCTGTTTTCTATGATTATTATAAAATCATTGCAAAGCTGAATTTTCAGCATCATTACTCCAGTATTCAGTGTCACATGATCAGATTTTCATTATTGGCCACAATTTCAGAATCAGTTTTCATAATTACATGAAACTCTGATGAACCATCCAAATAAATCATGGGTTGTACATCACATTTATCAGTTATTAAATGATTTCTAACTGTCATTTGCTCCTCAGGTGAGTCAGTGGACTAGACTGTGTGAGTTGGACATTCCCTCTGCAGTGGAGGAACACTTACGAAATCCTGAAGACCAGATGTGTAGACTTCCTGCTGCGATCCTGAACTTAGAGAAGAGGTTAGGGGAACCCGTCAAGGTCCACAATGACGACAAGATTCGCAGACAGAAGCTACAGCAGCAGAAGAAGAGTGATTCTCAACTAAAAGGCCCCAGCACAGAGAGCCTAGATGGCCTGAATGAATCCCACCCTGGAGTTGAGCTCAGTGCTGCTCTGGGGAAGCTCTCTGCGGTCGCAGTTCCTTCTCCCTCCACCAGGGAGAGCTCTGACATCAGGAAAGTCAAGAGCACAGACCTTCCCGAGCTGGAGCATGTGTTTGCAGAAGGGCTGTATTTCACCCTCACTGATGTCGTCCTGCTCCCCTGCATCCATCAATACCTGGTAAAACAAACAAATCGAAAACCGTTTTACGTTTAAATCACTATTCACTATCAGTCATTCATTCATTTGTTTCTGGAGTAGAGTAGACCATTGAGGCTCACAGGTGCTTTCAAGTTATATCAAACACAGAAGTCTCCCGTGACTCTGACTTTTCCTACTTCAAGGTGATTTTCTCAGTCCCACGTTAAAGGTGCATTGCGCAACATTTCGTGTTAAAAATAGCCCATTTTCTAACCCATACATGATGGGCTCTGATCACTGCGAAGGCCTCTATAATCCTGTACAGTAAAATAAATAAGAGGGATTCGGGACGGAATTTGAGCCTGGGCGTGACGTCATGCGCGTTCACGCTCACCTCGCTATATCTGGCAGGTTTGTGTATTCGCCGCCATTCTTCGTATCAGCGAAGACAACTTGAACGACAAAAATTTAGTCAACTTTTCACAAAAGTAAGAAGGATTCAAAGAGACCGGGTTGTAGTTCAGTCCAAACCCCAACACAAACTCCACGTAAGACAAAGACAATAAAAACTTTTGTCTAGTGCCAGGCGTCCGAATAAGACGAGAGTCAACATCGGCAAGGCTTTCAACAAATGGAGAGATCTCCGGTCTGTTCTAGGGCTCAAACGGAATCCTACTGTATACAAAGTAATAACTTATATTGTTCATGAACGTGTTTCCATAATAATACAATCATAAGTGGATACAGTAAGCACATAAAACAGTTTAACCGAAGTTTTCCCTCACACATAAGTTTGTCATTTACTCAAATGCCTTTCCTTTCATATATTTAGAATGACTTGCAGATTTATAACTTTATTACCTCTGAAGATATTATGACTGTAACAAAAGATTTGTGCGGCTTATGAACAGCTCGTGCAAGCGTGCTTGTGGTCCATGAGCGTGCACACCTCTGGTTGTAGTTTCACTTGTCGCCAGAGGGGGCGTAGTTCTGCAAAAACTCAGAAACTTGCGCAATGCACCTTTAAATAAGGCCACTAGTTTCTATTTCAATTGGGACTCTGAATTAGATTCATTGCAGTGTGATGTCCCTGGTCTCTCACTCTCAGAACTTTGACACGCCAGCATTCACTTGACTATTACTCATCAGTGGCATCTGGTTTATAAAGGTCTCTTCACAACATGAATTATAACTATGCACTTTTAAAAAATAAAGCTTCTTTATTGGTGTTGATGGTTCCATAAAGAACCTTGCAATCTTTCCATTCGAAAAAAGGTTCTTTATAGTGGAAGTTAGTTTCTCGATTATTAAAATGTTCTTTAAACTAAGAAAAAGATTGGGTTTTTTTTTAAGAACTGTTCACTGAAATGTTCTTTAGGGAACCTAAAACGGTGGTTCTTTCGCAACACCCCCACCACCACCTTTATTTTTAACGGTCTGTTAGATAAACTGTGTGGACACTATTGAAATAAAGTGCTAGATGACATTACTGCAGTTAAGTTTTATGCCGCATTAAGTGCTCTTTAAAGGGATACTCCACTTTTTTTTGTTGGAAATAGGCTCATTTTACCACTCCGAAATAGGTTTTACCGTTTCCGAATCCATTCAGCCGGTTTTTGGATATTTAGAAGAATATCAGTAACCAGACAGTTTCTGGTCTCATTGACTTCCATAGTATATTTTTTTTCCTTCTATGGAAGTCAATGAGACAAGAAGCTGTCTGTTTACTGATATTTTTCTAAATATCCAAAAATCGATCCAAAAATTGATTCGAAAACGGTAAAACCCAACTGTTTAACTCTGGGGGAGTTGTAAAATGAGCCTATTTCCAAAAAAAGTGGAGTATCCCTTTAAGATCTGTTTCTACTAGGGACAATAATTATAACTGTATAACTGATGTTTTTTAGAATCGTTCTGTGCGAATAGAAAGTCCACACCACAGCTTCGACTATAATAATACAGAGGAACTATATTGTTGGAATCTCTTTCAGAGTGATTTTTTATATCGCTCGTGACATTGACAACCAATCAGAATCCATCCTTTTCAGACTCCTTTGGTTTGGTTGGAGGTGATAAAGTTAAATGAATAGAGTGCAGTTCTGGAAGTAAAAATCTATTCTCAGCTTCAAGGTTAATGGTATTTGCTTGAAGATGTCAGTCGTCACATGAGTTTAACGTATTTTTTTTTAAATAATCATGTTTGACAGTGGAATTTCTGGTGGAAAATTGGATTACCCATGATTCTCTCCACCAATCAGCTTATTTTAAATGCAATTGACTATTTTTCATTATTTTATTAGTAATTAATCATTATTTAATTGGTGATGCATGTATTATGGAAAAGAATGAGAACTCAATGTATTCCTCCACACAAAAAAACAAACTGTGCAGTGATATCTTGGGAGCTGAATATCATAGAGACTTTGTCTCTTTCAGACCCTGCTGTGTCTCTGCGGTGAAGTGTGTACTTTTGTCATCTTTTTTTCTTTCTCTCTTGCTCTGTTCTTCCTCCTCTGATCATTGTTCATTCTTCTCTCCCTCTGCTCCTGTCATTCTCTCGCTCTCGGCTCTCTGTGGTCAGCGGCGCATCGGTGCCTCCTAGTTTCACACGCCGTCTAGCATGTCTCCCTCCTTCTGTCCTCCTCATCCCTTTCTCCCTGTCTTTCCTCTGCGGCGCGATGATAGCCGGAGTTGATCTCGGTTCAGTGGACACAGCACTCTGATGGGTTACTTAAGTCACAGCATCTCACTGTCAGTGTGCATTTTTTTAATATGCAACAGTCACACAGAGGCTTCACCGTCTCGCCTATTTGCCATAACGATTGCACATTTGTTTTCTGAAATGTGACCTCAGTTTTTACTCTTAAACTTTGATAAATGGCTTTAGTTTTGTTTGTCAAGTTCAAGATTCATCAGGCTCAAATTGTGAAAGAATGGTAGGGAGGGAGCATGAAGAATCTTTTTTCTTGATTTTCTCTTCTTTTTGATGTTATTTCCATCAAGAGGTGCATGAAAAACTACACACTCCATCAATTAGGGTTAGAAGAACTGTTGCCGAATATATAACATGCTTGAAACATAATAATCACTGCAATAATGATCCAATCATATAAATTTGTCTATTTAAATCCAAATGACGACTTTTTTTATACACTGGGCACTGTATATATATATATATATATATATGAAGAGTTCAGATGCAAAAGCCTCTAAGTGCCATTTGAAATTTTCTTCTAAAATTATCATTTTTATCAAGCTTGTATATTTAAGTTCAGTTGTTTCACTTAAATGCCAATGAGGATTACTTATTAATTGTCATTTAAGTGAAATTACTGAACTTAAATATACAAGCTTGATAAAAATGGTCATTCTAGAACAAAATTTCAAATGGCATTTAGAGGCTTTTGCATCTGAACTCTTCATATATTGGGCTGTATATATATATATATATATATATATATTACATTCCATGTAACCATTTAGCAGACGCTTTCACCCAAATGAGAACAATAGAAACAAACCAACAACAGGAGTGCAACAATATGCAAGTGAATATGTATGTGTGTGTGTGTGTGTGTGTGAATTATACATAATGTGTGCATGTACATGTGCAAATATTTTGATATCTATATATTGAATTTTTTTAGAGCAATTAAAAAAATGATGGTAATGATAATTAGGCATATTTTACTTCCATATGCTCTTAACTGTAAAGCAAAAAATCTCATTGTAACTAATCTCACTGTAATAAATAATGTATATTATTATATACAGTATGTCTATATATATATATATTTTTTTTATTATTATTATTAATGCAGTTCTTTTTTCATATATCAATTTTATACACAGTCATATGAGATGTGAGGTTCTGAATATAATAAGCATCACGTCTTTGATTACACCATTCTAGATCTCCATCCAAAAGCACACCCCCTCTACCCTGTCCCGTCTGCCCTTGCTGCTGAGATGGTACCAGCGTGTGCAGGAGCTCCCCGGCGTACTGAGGGCCGCAAAGGATTGTGGGATGGCCCTCTTCAGTCCCAGCACGGTCGACCCTTGCCCTCCTCAGCCAGAGGCCCCACGATCCAGTGGAGCACAGCAGGACGGCCCCAAACTTAAGCAAGAGCCATTCATCGGGGGCCCGAGGCCAACTCTCACCAAGCTGCAAGTAATTGAATTTCACTCGCTCTCTTTTTCTCCCGCTCTCTTGCTCTTTTATTTTATTCTCCTCATTTCTCTTTCCCTAACTCTTCCTTCGCACAGAAGGAGATTACACATGCCACGCACAGAAGCGCTTCTCTTTGCCACTTCACTAAACCTGTCAGAGGCGAACTCGCATAATCCCTAAACAGTGATCTGCTCTCAATACGTTCAGTGCTTTGCTCCCGTCCCTCTACGGCAGCCCCGTGTGCCACTGCGGGCCTGAACCGTGATGATAAAGGATTTATGCACTCCAGCGAGGCAGAACAGCAGCCGTACCGACTCGCTCTTAACTGATGGGACTCCCTGCCACTTGATACTTTAAGGAGACTGGTATTACGTGGCTGTCTGACTTCGACAAGCACTGCGAGTTCTTTCAGCTGTTCGTCTGACGTTCATTAGTTGTGCTAAAGACTATGTAGGGGGATATAACAGAGAAACTTCAATATACAATGAAATCCTTATTCATAAATAAAGAAACATTCATGAGTTTTATTTAAAAAGAAATGCATTGTGATCAATTGTGACTAATTTCATGCTTAAAGCCAGTGGTTCCCAAACTTTTTATCTTTCTACGTACACCCAGTCTTCCACTTTTCTATTAAGGCACAGTAGTTTTCCCCTTAAATTGATTTTCCAGTGCATTTTAACCCTTATATATACCTTTATAAAATGATGTTTTAAATAAAAATGTGTAATAGAGAAATATGAAATAATGGTGAACACGAAGAGATACTTTAAAATCCGCCAGTAGGTGGCAGTAAGTCACTGTCTTAATTACTGAGCCATTGAGTCATTCATTCATCCAGTAACAAGGCTGTATTTATAAATGGGTCATTGAATCATTGACTCTCCTGATTCGTTCAAAACCGCAGATTTGTTCACCAAACACCGTTGTATAATGCAGCTCTGTGGTGGTTTTTGTTGGAACTATTATTTAGTTGCAAAATTTAATGTATTTAAAGTGCACATCACTTAAAGAGCCCCTATCATAGCATTTGAAATGTTCCTATTTTTGTTTTAGGAGTTCCCAAAAACAGTTTAACGTGCATGCACTTTTACAAAGGTAAATTGTCGAGAACGGCAGTAATGTAGTGAGATTTGTAGCAGGATACTCTGCGGGCCATCTATCATATGCACGTTGTTTGTGTGGAATGGATACTGTCAGTTTTGAATGCAAAAGATGAGGTAATTTGATTGGATGTCATATGCTTGAGCTTATGCTTATGCTCGGTTGTAATGTTATTTTAAGGTTGGGTAGAATTAAATGGATGGGAAAGCTCAGCATTTTGTTCACGTACCCCCTCTGTCACCTCACGTGCCCCAGTTTGGGAACCACTGCTTTACGAAGGTCAAACGATCAGGAGAAACATGAATTCAGTGAACATTTTTGCTTCATAAAAATAAGATATTAAATGAAACATGCAATTTTGCAGTTATTCTCTCTTTTGCAGACCATAAACTGTGGTTAATACCTTTGCTAATATGGCTACATTTAAAATAAATCTACTGTGGCGAGTGGCAACTACAAATGCCTAAATTAGTTAAATTATAATGTCATTTTCCTCCACTTTACACAGTAACATGTTTAGTGTTTGTACAATATAAACACTACCGTTTAAAGGTTTGGGGGTCAGTACATAAATAATACTTTAAATAAATGAATCCTTTTATTCAGTTAGGTTGCATTAAAGTGATCAAAATTGACAGTAAATGCAAAACATTAAAAAAATTGCAGCTGTTTAACTGTTTTCAACACAGGTGTTTTTATATTATCAAATTATGTTTTAATATGTGTTAAAATAGAAAACAGTTAAATTGTTATATTTTTCTATATTACTGATCAAATAAATGTTGCCATGGTGAGCAGAAGAAATCCTTTCAAATGCATTAAAAATCTTCTGACCCCAAACTTTTCAATAGTAGTGAATAGGTAAATAATTAGGCTTAGTTTAGAAAGACATGCATTGCTGAAAATATATCAGGTGAATTATATAGATTGATTTATTTTATTTTAAACTATAAGTGAGTTTCATATTTCAGTCCATTAATTTTATTATAAAAAGTAACAGTTTAATTCATCATCATTGTCTTTAGGAATCCTACACACCACATGTTTTCATGTTATTAATAATGATGTATTATAACAAAACTGAAAGAAGCTATTTTTTTTTCTCTCACAGTTCACTTAATTTCAATTCACAGTTCACTCTTTCACTCTTCAAACATGTTTGTCCTGAAAGGTGGGCTAACGTTTAACCACAAGTGTAAGATAAAGTTTGTCCTTAAACAAAAAGAACCATAGTGACCCTATACCAAGCCAGTCAAGCATCTAGACGTGTGTGAAACATTTAACTATATTAACTTTTTTTTTCTTGTGCAAGTAGAAAAAGCAGAAAGTCAATTTTTGGACATATATGATGCCAAAGTGGTTTTCTTTGATTATGGTAAAAATAAGTATACGTTGACATTTAAAAATGTCTTTCAAATGTATGCATGTTTTTACATTGTCACAAAATGATAAAACAATTGATATTTCTTTAAGATAAAGATGAAAGTACGGAAGAAGATTAGGGCCAAGCAATAATGAAAAAACAAAACCATCTCGAGATTAAAGTCATTATAATGTGGAATTAAACTCCTTAAATTATGAGAAAAAAAAGTCGAAAAACAATCTTGAGAATAAACTCATTAAATATCGAGAAAAGTCGTTGTATTTCGAGAAAAAAAAAAACGTGTTAAATTTCAAGAAAAAGTCGAAATACAATCTTGGAATAATCTCATTAAATATTGAGAATAAAGTCGCTGTGTTGCGAGAGAAAAAAAACGTATTAAATTTTGAGAAAATTTTTTAAATAATCGTGAGAATAAACTAATTAAATTTCGAGAATAAAGTCATTGTGTTTCGTGAAAAAAAACCTATTAAATTTCGAGAAAAAAGTCTAAATAATCGTGAGAATAAACTCATTAAATATCAAGAATAAAGTCATTGTGTTTCGAGAAAAAAAACGTGTTAAATTTCGAGAGAAAAGTCGAAATACAATCTTGAGAATAAACTCATTAAATATCGAGATTAAAGTTGTGTTTCGAGAAAAAAAAACGTATTAAATTTCGAGAAAAAAAGTCTAAATAATCGTGAGAATAAACTCATTAAATATCGAGAATAAAGTCGTTGTGTTTCGAGAAAAAAAACTTGTTAAATTTCGAGAAAAAGTCGAAATACAATCTTGAGAATAAACTAATTAAATTATGCGAGAAAAAAACGTCGAAATTAAATATAAAGAATAACGCATTCGATCAGTGTTCATTGCATAGCCTTCTGATATAGGACATGGCAGAGTTGTATCATTAGTCAAGCTATATTTTAGATTTTATTTCAAAGTAATAGCCAGTTAGCTACTTCATAAAAACAGTTACTGGCATAGGAGGGTGTCCTGAGAGCTCCGCGCGTACGGGGACCAAAAAAAGGTAGTGTGGCATCTATGCAAAGGTTTTTACAAAGTAACCATGGAGACAAGTTCTCAAAACACGACTTTATTCTCGAAATTTAAAGAGGTTTTTTTTCTCGAAACACAACGACTTTATTCTCAAGATTGTAATTCGACTTTTTTTCTCGAAATTTAACGAGTTTTTTTCTCGAAACACAACGACTTTATTCTCGATATTTAATGAGTTTATTCTCAAGATTGTGTTTCAACTTTTTTCTCGAAATTTAACAAGTTTAACCTCGCATTATAATGACTTTAATCTCGAGGTGGTTTTATATTTTTGTTATCGCTTGGCCCTAATCCTCTTCCGTATGAAAGAAATGTCAAATTCAGTGACTTATATATATATTGTTGATTTAGTGTTCAAATTGGTTTGGGGCCACTATATCAAAATGTTTGGTACCGCAAGCATACTTTTTAAGGGCTGTTACTCATGTACCCCTCTACTTGCAGACCCCCATGTTTCCTCACCTTTCCAGATAATAATGCACCTTTAAGAGGCTGTATTACATGGACAGCTCAGCTTGTGGCATCATCATAACTGTCCTGATGAGCGCTCTTTTTTTCCTCCCCAGAGGAACCGCCGATTCGGTCCATAACCTCCTGCACAGTCTTCTGCCTGCTTATTCAATTTCCCACCACTTCCATAGCATTCCTGCTGATTTACCCAGCATCTAAATGACCCACAAACTCTAGCAACACTACATCCCCCGGTGCAGAAATCTGCCGATAATGAGTAAAGAGCCCGCAGTGGTCTCATACACTTCTGCCGTACGACTCCCGCAGGAGAGGCAAACCGAGTAGCAATGCTGGATCTCTGTACTGTCTGCCCCGGACCACAATGCTGAAGTCGAGTCCCTAGCAGGTGAAAAAAAAACACAGCTGTCGTCTAGTTTTCAGGCCTGCTGCAGGACTTCCAGCTTTGTATGTGTGCGCTTGGTGTTTGCCACCTCTCCCATTCAGCTACTATAAATCAGATATTTCCCGTCACGCTAGTGGATATCAATTTGGTGTGTGTCAATGAGTTGGAGCTCAGCAGGCTCTCTTAATGCATAGCAGTCCACTGGGATTTTCCAGGCTGCGTGCTTTCTGCTTTAGGTCTGCTCTGCAGCTGTTGCTGGTGGCTCATTGCTTTGGAGCAAATTACATTTTTATTCTCGGAGCCAAACCTTATGGCCAGCCTGGATTTGTAATGTCAGGGCAGTAAACATAGATGCACCGTTGCAATAGCTACTGTTTAACAAGCAGAACCAGGCTCGTTCTAAATCAGTGACCAAGAGCATCTCAGGAGCTTCATTTGATGGTTTGAGATGGTTTTACTCAGTTTAGTCTCTGCTAAAGTGTGTCATTAGACAGATTAGCAGAGTTTTGATATACTGTGTATTGTGGTTAATCTCAGCATGTCTGGAAGGCTTTGTTGACCTATTCCAGAAAACATGGGAGTTAACTATCCATTTTTTAATCTTGTTTTGTTTCAGGTATTGAACAATATGTGTATTTGACTTTTAAACGTATATTTCATTGTTTAATAATGTTAAATGCAGAGTTTAATTACCAAAATCCTTTTTTTTTTTACTTAAAATGTCATTGTAAGTGCACAGGGGTCATACACAGCAACACAACTACTTAAAATTAAATCGTGTGTGATGTCACACAGGGACTTATCGGAATGTCATTTTACTGTTATTCACTGGAAGTTAAATGGTAAAGTTTTTGTGTTAATGCAATGTTAAACCATTAACCGTGTTTACTGTAATATGGGAAAGTAACTTAAAGTCAATCATTTATTTTAAATATACAGTGTTTCTCTTCAGACAAAGTGCATGAGTCATATAGACTAGGCTTCAACTTTTTTTATGCTTTCTATGTTTCTTTGCATCCTTTTTGAATCTTAAAGGGTTAGTTCACCCAAAAATGAAAATTCTGTCAGTATTAACTCAACCTCATGTTGTTCCAACCCCGTAAGACCTTCGTTTATCTTCGGAACACAAATTAAGATATTTAAGATATTAAGATCGCTCCTGCATACAGTCCGTAGGCTTCTTGAGGGACTGGCTCTTGCTGTCCCCGAAAAGTCATTAAAGACATCGTTAAAATAGTCCAAGTGACTACAGGGGCTCAATCTTAAGTTTATCAAACGACGAGAACACTTTTGTGCGCAAAAAACAACAAAAATAACGACTTTATTTCAACTATTCGTTTATTTCTCCCTCTGCGCGAGTCAGGTTACTAGTTTAATAGCGCAAGCTTCTGTTATTGTACCTCACACGCATCACACACACATGACCAGCGTCGGCCAATAGTGAGCCTACGTGTGACGTAGCTCTACGCAATCACACTACGTTAACTGACTACAGGCCCATGGAGAAGGAAGTGAATAGTTGAAATAAAGTCGTTATTTTTGTTGTTTTTTTGCGCACAAAAGTGTTCTCGTTGTTTGATAAACTTAAGATTGAGCCCCTGTAGTCACTTGGACTATTTTAACGATGTCTTTAATGACTTTTCGGGGACAGCAAGAGCCAGTCCCTCAAAAAGCCTACGGACTGTATGCAGGAGCGATCTTAATATCTTAAATATCTTAATTTGTGTTCCGAAGATGAACGAAGGTTTTACGGAGTTGGAACAACATGAGGGTGAGTAAATACTGACAGAATTTTCATTTTTGGGTGAACTAACCCTTTAATACTTGAACTTTTCCTTTAGTTTCTTATTGTTTGTGCATTTTGTTAAGCAAAAAGTCTTTCCTAGAGGTTTTAACACCAATCTGACCCTGCCTTCACTCCGTTCCACATGAGTTTGTTTAATCATTCAGGTTAATTTCATTGTAAGTAGGTGACTAACCTCATCTCGTCAAACTGGTGAAGACTTGTTTGTACTAAAAAAGTACCCTATGAAATCCCCCAACACAACACCATATGTTCTGTAGCATTGCATGTATTTTGCATCTTATATTCTCAATGAGGAATAAACGTCGGAGCACACTTTTTACCCTTCTAGGTCTTCTAGGTCTCTTTAATGATTAAGAACCAACTAGAAAAATGTCAAATCAATTACAGAACTTTAAATTAGTTTGTAAAGTGGGATGAACTGCTCTGTAACGGGTTCCTGATTTAATTAGCATCTTGTCTCAGGCGTTCTGAGGAAGTGTGAGCAGTGGTCATGTGGTTGCCTGGAGGCTTCTGTCAGGAGTGGTTTAACCTGTTCTTATGTCTTCTTATGTCCTGTAGGAAAAAGGGATAGACGCTGTTTACACCGCTCACCCTTGCCCGTCATGGACCGTTGATTGGGAGAGCCTACCAATGGCCGTCAACCCCACTGAAGGTAACCTCGGCTGTAATTTCCAAACAAGTGGAACACAACCCTACTCTTACCATACCAATAGTGATAAGCATCTTTTTGATTCATGTAATATTGAAATATTTGTGTAGAACCATTTTGGTAGTCATGTATTCGATCCCAGTTCTTTCCATATTCTATGTTAGTAAAACCTTGTCATTTGTATCATTTCCATCAGCCACGTTGAGAATTGTTTTCCGGCTCTCTAATGAAGCATTTAAAATTGTAACCCACTCTGCTTGGCAAGTAATGTACTTGACAAAGAAATTACCAAGGAAGTGATTTAATTTGATTTAACTGTTGCTGCTTCACACAGAGACTACGAAGGAAATGGCTTTAATATGATTTCAGCTATTGATGAAGTGACAGCTTTATGTCTATGATTGATGGGCATCAAGTTAGCATATAATAAGCAATCTAAAATCAGTAACGGACACTTTATCTGTTATCTCCAGGCATTGCTTTGCCTTTTTGGAAGAAAATTTATGCTATACCTGTAGAAATGCGTTTCTGAGCAGAGATTGTTCTGGTTGTCCTGTGTCATGAGCTCTCCACAGCCGTGTTCTGGAGTCTTAACTAGCTCAAACAGCAGGCAGCTGTTTTTCACCAGGAATGAGCGAGATGCCAATCACCTTGCACAGACAGACGCTCGAGCTCCGTGGAGAGACAGAAATCCAGTTCGTTCAAAGAGTCTGGAAACAATCCTCATCGACTCACGCCCCTGAGAGAATAATTTACTTGAGTTTAAAAACTACGTATATTTTCAGTTGGTAAGAAAGAAGGGATTTCGGAGTTTGTGCACAAAAAAATTTGGTACCTAATAGAGCCCGACCGATAAAGGATTTTGAAGGCCGATACAGATGCAAATATTTTTGGGTTTTAAAATCCGATATATCGGCCGATATTTTATTTATTTAATTATTTATTTTAAACTGGACATGATAGTCACAAATTTTGTCATGCTTATTTGAGTTAAGAGAACTGATGGGGATGTTCTTTTAATTGTTATTCAAGCAATGTATGTATCGTGCCCAACTCAACGAGTGTTGCCAACAGGAACGGTGTAGAGTGCGCTCTGGTGGACAAACTATACAACTCCAACACTCATGACATGGTTCAAGCGTGTTTCGTCCGTTTTTATTTTATTTTTGAAATATTCATTTATCTGCCATTATAACTGCCGATACCGATAGTTTGGAAAATGCCTAATATCGGCCGATAATATCGGTCTGCCGATATATCGGTCTGGCTCTAGTACCTAATTTTATGCTTCAGTAGAACTGGGTTTGACAGCCTTAAAAATTGCATTACATAGAAGAGACAGCATGAACATTCTTCAAATAGTCTTCTTTTTCTTCCATTGATAAATGGAAATATGACATAAGTGTAAAAAAATGACAGAAATTTCTCAATGTTTTTGTCCATACAGTATAGCAGATTCAGTGTACTGTTGTAACTGCTTTTTGCTGGACAGGCCAAGGTCATGATTTTTAGTCTCTCTCAAAATAAAAACCTATTCATCTTCCATTTGCATTCTAAGATTGCTTATTATTTGAGGCTTTTAGGAGATTTTTCCGTTCAGCGCAGTCTGTAGTGAACTTCCATTGCTCTGTTCACATTTGCATCAAACTCTTTTTCAGAAATGAACTCCCAAATGTCTATAAATGATTGTCATGTTCCCTGGACATTTTTGATGGTTCTTTAGTCATGTTGCCTCTTTTCTGCTGATTTTCTAGTGTTTTAAAGCAGGGCCCTTCAGAGAAAACAGTCGCACTCTGAACGTAGGCACGTAGATGAACCCCCACGTAAAAAAAAAGTATGCTGCTTTTATTTGTTACCATTTTCTAGTGTTTTAATGCAGGGCCCTTCAGAGAAAACAGTTCTGAGAACAAGTCGCACTCTGAACAAAGGCATGTAGATGAACCCCCACGTAAAAAAAGTATGTTATTTGGTAACATTTTTTTAAAAGCAAAGTATGTTTTTAAAAAGATGGTACTATCTTGGTACTTTGCTTTAAAAGCAAAGTATCTTTTTAAAAGCAAAGTATGTTGCTTTTATTTGGTAACATTTTCTAGTGTTTTGAGAACAAGTCACATTCTGAACATAGGTTTGTACAGTAGATGAACCCCCACATAAAAAAGTATGTTGCTTTTATTTGGTACCATCTTTTTCTTTTACTATTGCAGCTCTGTCTTTCAGCATGCGCCCACACACGCTTCACCGTAATGTCTTTTCAAGTGCTGAATCCATGTTCACAGAGAGGCCTGTGTATGTCCTGCTGTTTGTTATGAATCCTCAATCGCTTCAGCGCTCCACTAATCGCTCCTGTCATCTTTCAACATTCAGGTAACCCGTAGAGTGAAGACAAGCTCTATTGTTATGAGATTGTCATAGTCTGCAACTGTTGGAGAAAGTGTATCAGCAGTCTGCCTGCGCCACCCAAATCTCTGACTCTTGAATTTTTGTATCCTAACTTTTAAACCAGATTACTCAAGCAGACATGTATATGTCTGGTCAGCAGATCCTGCCTTCCTACACAAAGGGAAAAAAAAAACATCTCCTGAGTTGTTAGTGCTTGCCAGGAGAGCTTCTGACTAGAAGATGGTGTAGGAGTGCCTCAAGGCACTGTGTTGGGCCACTCCACATTGTTGGACTAAAAACAGTTTGTAAATCTTCTCACTATGTGTGTGGTGATTTACCCCAAGTATGTCTCTTCTGGGACATGTCTGCTTTTCTTGTAATATTTTTACATGCATTTAGTTTCAGAGTCGATGACTGCGTCATTGGATAAGATGTTAGTACGTGGGCACGTCTATAGAGGAGCTGTCGTATGGACAAGATTACAAATGAGTCGTGTTTCATTTGGGAGACAGGCTTCGCCACTAGAGTCTTTAGAAATTTGACATGCTTCGTTCCTAAAAAGGCAGCGACATAAATGTATTGGCCGTTTTCTTTGGGAGCCATTTTAGCTAAATATTTAGACGTTTGTGAGACTACCGCAACTACCACCCACATTTTGCGAGCCACCTCCACACTGCTGATAAATATTGTTTTAAATTTAGGACAGTCTGTGGGTGGATTGCATCGCCTGGGTGTCTATTATGCAGTTTGTCGAGAGCAGGAGAGAGAACTAGTCGCTGTCACCACTACAGAGCAAGAGAAACCCCAGGGGCCACCTGGGAAACGCGGTTGGCAGTGGTGCCATGAATGTGAATTTATTTTCACTGTCAACACCAGCCCTGTTGAGTATTAAGAGACTCCACTGTGTTTATGTGGGAAGGGGACATTTACATGGGACGCGCATTCCGGACGCATCTGCCTGTTTTGGCAACTACTTGTCTGAATTGCTTCATCTCTAGACAGTTTATGGCCTAGGAGGAGGGAAGTTCAACAGCCTACAGCACCTTCAAAGATGCGTTATTGCTCAGTCACATGATTGAATGACTTAGAAATGCTGCTTCATCTCAAGGACCAGGCTTTGACTGTTGGCAAACGTATGGTCCGTACTATGTTTTAGACTGGAAGACCAACTGTGATGTTAGGACAGATAAATCTGAAATCAATGATACACCAGTAAGATGTCGGCATCCAACCCTGTAGCAACCTTGCAAACATAGCTTTGTTTCTTCATTACTTAAAATAACCTTTGCACCATGATTCATGGAAACTGTCTGTTAGATTTCAAACTGTTCTTGCCATTTTAATGTGGAATTTGCTTTAGACAGTCTGTGGCAGTGCAGTCTGAGGTAGAGATTACATGCTGCTTCACCTGTATTAAAGGGATACTTCACCTCTGGAAAGATGAATGTGTATTTAAAATGGGTCATTTATGTTCAAGAAATGTGAAATTATTTTTGAATTTGGAGCTTTCTAGACTGAGAAAAGCCAGAAAATGTATTTTTGGGTTATGTGGATGAAAGACAACAACTCCCAGAATGCACTTGCTTCGCTGTCCTAGGAGGCCACGCCTACTGGTAACAGAGCGCAGTGGTTAAACAACAAGTCTAGGCTACTAGTGATAAGTCTGTGTTTCAAGGTTTCCTAAAATGTCCGAGATTCGGCTTTTGCATTCTAGAGTCGCCATTCGTTATGTTTACTGTGGCAAACAGGGCGAGGTTAGGGCCGCGGGAGAACGGCGCGAGGCCGGTGGCGTGATTACCGATGAGCGACACCTGTGAGGCGTGTCCGTCTCGTATCTCTCACAGAGGAGCGGGAATTTTCTTAGCAATGCTAAAACGCACGTCAACTGATCACTAGTTTAGCGTTCATGTAAACACTACATTCAGATTCACCAATCGGAATGAATTCAGTTAGATTGAAACAAGGTGTGCATGTAAACAAAATGACGATTTTTGGCGTCATCAGAGGATTTTTTTTAAATGCATAAATCGGGTGGAAAGCATGATAATTCGAAAATACTACAGGTTTTTTACTAATACAACGCTTAATCCTAAATCCTGAAGCATCCCTTTAACACATTCAGAAGCATTGTGAAGAACTATCCTGAATTTTCCAGATACCTGAATTTGTCAGTGTTTTTGCTTCCACTTCTCAAATTACTATTCACCATTACGAGTTGAAAAAAAAGCCTTTTAATTTCCAGTTCAGTTCCTGAATTTGAATTTAGGCAGCAAACATGATACAGAATTGCAATTCAAATTTGAACATAAGGATGTAGAATTAAAATAGCTTGAAATATATGGAAATATGTTTTAACTGAATGTTTGCATGACAAAGCCTTTTGAAAGATTTAAAACCAGTTTTAAAATGTTTGAGGCCTTGATAGGCCTTACTGACAACCTTTTTTTTTTTTTTTTAAATGACGGCTATGGTATACATTTGTATTTAGTTTATATATCTCATTAAGCGCTTTTAATTTTATATATATATATATATATATATATATATATATATATATATATAAAAATACAATTACAATCCTCCCTCCTGTAAATTGAAATGAAGACAATTCTTCAATTCTGACA